TTATCCTTTATTTTCAAGATGAGTAAGGTGAAATTTAGCTCAATAAATTCTTTATCTCTATGTTATTAGATCCCTTGATCACAGAATGAAACAAAACGGACACTTTTATTTTTTTTAAATATATTTGATTGCTTCAGTAGGCACATTGAGCATTCTCAGAGCTTAATAAAGTTGTTCGATTAATAATATTGACTTATATTTGCAATTCGGTTGGAATCTTCCATATAGGCTCTGAGCCATTAATCTTAAATAGCATTTAAGAAGAAGCAAAATGAAAATTGTCTTCAATAAACCGTCCTAAATAGACAAAATGGTAATGAGTACGCTAAAAAATTATTTTAAAAAATTATCCCCTCCCTCCAGAAAATGCCTTTTCTCCTACTGACGCACAGCCTCCAGGTCCCTAGAGGACTTCGGTAGTCCATAATTTATCTTCAGCCTCCAGGATGAATGTGGTTTTGGAAGCAGTGTTTGAAGGTCAGTAACTGAGACCCACCCTCAGGCTGCCATTCAGACAATTGAAATACTTGCTTTGAGGATCCCAGCCCTGAAAATGTACTTAGTGGAGCCCAACACAAACCAATCAAAGATAAATGAGGGCATCCTAAACTTCTGTCCATTTTATGCCTTTCAGCTTTCATTTTATTGAAACAATTTACACTGAACACAAAATGATATCGCCAATATTTTGTTTGTTTACTATTTTAAATTCTCCAGAGTGCCTTAAGAGTATTAACTTGGCTTTTATTTATTTAGTAAGTTCAAGCCGCAAGGTCATAGCCAGTCATGTTGTTCTTAAGATAGTTACTAGGAGGTTAACAGAGAGCACCAGTTTGCATGGGTTAATCTGTCTGTCTGCGTAATAGTCATCCATACACATCAGTAGCACTTGCTAAGCTTCCCACTGGAGAAAGCAGAGTGTATCCTCAGAACCATGCAAAATAAGAGGTGCCCACGAGTGGGTGTTAAATGAGTGAATGGATGCTTCTGTGGAGGACTTCAGTTTTCTGAGCTCTGACCTATTCAAGGGGCAAGTTTATCAATTCTGCCAGCATAAATCTCACTTTCAAAAATTATAGTCTCTCTGTACTTTGTCTTTCCTCAGTTTATTTGGAATGGCTCCTCTGAAGATATAAATAAATATTCTATTTGAGAGGTTTTATTGCATTCTTGTATAACTTAAAATTGAAAAATTAGCTCAGCAAGCCAGGCCTGGAAAGTACCAAGTAATCATTTAATCTAAATACTCATTTCAAAGATGAGGAAGGGAGGAGAATATAAGTCTTCAATGTGGAGGGATAACATTTCCACCGACTGCTCTGAGATAAATTGAGTAATCAGGACAATGGCACAGCTCTGAGAAGCTTAAATATATTTGTGCACTCAATACATATGTGTTAAGTTCCCAACTATACACCAATCGCTGTACTGGGCTCTGTAGATTGACAAGTGGACAGAAGATATTAAGTTCCTGAACTAATGGAGTTTATGTTGAACAAGAATGAGGCATAGCGGGGGGGAAAAGGAGAGAAACCATTAACGACCTTGAGATAGTCTAACGATGAAAATCATGTGCCTGTTAATACCCAGAGATTTTCTTCCCCCATAGAATAAAATATTTCTAGCTCCTAGCTATCTGACCCACTTTTCATTTCAAATTATAGTGACCAACAGTCTTAGGTTTCCCTTTATTGGAAACTGTCACCCTACAAATTGCATGTCTTATCTGTAAACTGAAGGTTAGCCCAGATGATTGACTTAGATTTCCTTCTACCTTTAAGCCTTCTTTAAACAAAACCCTGTGGGTGTTTTGAATGCTTTCCCTACTCTTCCCAGCCCCGTACTTTCCCATGAAGGGCTCTACAGATGACGCTTCAGTTTCTGTATCTAAAAGACCTCCTGGCTTGTGTGGTGTAGCTTGTGACCCAGCGATAGTGGGGGAGAGTCATTCACACTTCCTGAAACACAGCGGTCTTCTGGTCTTTCCTCTCCTTGGGACCCATAGACCCAAGAACTGCCCAAGCCATCAGTCTTTGTGCAGAGATAAACAATAGTGCTAAACTTGTCAGCTTTTTGATCCTTCCCAGATCATTTTTTAGCCCAGTTCTTGGAAGGGGACGTCTTGCCAAGACTTTTATTTTTCTTTGCGGTGTTGTATTTGCTGTGCTAAGAATAGAATAGTACAATCATATGATTTTAGGACTCATAAAACCACAGGAAAATAAAAGAGGAACCAAACTAAATACAAAAGAATTATATATAGATAAATATAGATATGGGTAGTGATATAAAATGAAAAATAAAATTTGTTTTCAAAAGAAACTTAGAGGTGACTTATCTCCCATGCCAATTTCTTTAGTCAATTGGAGACACTAAATAAAGACTTTCCACAGGGCCAGGCTTTGTGTTCGTTTCAGGTGGAACTGGTGTTACGGGTTGTGTCCACAGCCCTGATAAGAAAGAGCTAGTGTGAGCCGCAGTGGAATTGATCCATGTGAGCCAGGATTATTCACTCTGCATTGAGGCCTGAGTGGGAGGCAACCCCAGTATTGCCCAGGCGGGTTTATGTACAAACAGCAGAGAACAAATTGACTCAGATCAGGAACACATGTAGTTGGCAAGTCATGTAGTTGGCAAGTAATGATAGTTTCACTCTACAAGTGCGAGGTTACATCTCCTGCAATGGTCCTGAGTCTCCTTCCCTTGAACCTAATCCCGTCCTGCGCCATAATGCTCTCTTCTTCTACAAAACCTCTTCTGACCACTGACGTCCATGAAGACTACTGTTTTGTTTGAAGTAAAAGCACATTTGTCAATGAATTATGTTCCATCTTGTAAAGTTATGTTGCATTTTCTTGCATCCTTATTTAAGTTTTAATTGTATGCATGCCTCATCAGGAACTAGATTATCAATTGCATTTTTTGAACTTTCATCTTTGAACCTGCTACTCTATGTTGAAGATATTTAACCAGATTTGCTCAAGAGTTAGCCTTCCCTGATATGCTCACAAAAACACTGCAAAAAACATAGTTAACTTGAAGTAAAATTTTAAAGTTTGATGATGTTATTGCTCTTTTTCCAGGAAGCCACAATGTCCTCCAACTTGAGCTTCTATTTAGGCAGCCAGTGGCCTCCATTTCTTCCCCAGATTATTAATGTTTGTGTCCAGGAAAAAATTGGCTCTGGTCACTTATATCTTAGTTAGAGTAAATATTAATCTCTATTTTCCCATGAGAATGAGCAGCTTCACCCAGTTCTACCAGTGCAATGACAGACTTTATCAGCCTTTGCAAGAGCTCTATGTGAGCAAGTCTCAGGGAGAGAGCAGGATGTAGAGAGATGGTGGTGGGGACAGACCTTAAGTGGGGGAAATCATATGACTTGGCAGCAATCTCCTCTAGCGGCCCATTTGACTCAGAGGCTAGGAGCAGCGCCATCTTCACCTGAAGCCCTGGTAAGAGATTTAGAACTACCCAAGCTCAGAAGTAGTTGCTGCCAGGCAGTCAACCCATGCAGAGACTTTCCAAGAATTTAATATCAACAGTTGAGATATCTATTTTCTTTTATTAATGAAAGTGGGTTGTGGATGGCCTCTCCTCCTGAGCAATGATTATACTTTGTATAGGTATTTTTTTAAAAAGTAAACATTCACGGTCCGTAAACATCCACCCTGAGAGTCCTAACTTAGTGAAGAAAACACATTATAGGGAAAGAAAGCTTTAGCAGAACATTGTGGATTGGCAGCTCTTAAACCACCTTTCCTCAAAAACCATTCATTGATTAAAGAAACATAAATCCATAATGAATATAGTAGTATTCAGCAGCATTATAGTTCAAACTTTATAAAATTCTAATGGAAAAATTCTAAGTCTTTCAAATGATACAATGATACTGTTTGCTAAGTATCTAATTATCATCTTTATTATTATTTATCCAAAGACATAAAACCTTTCAGTTTTGACTACTAACTGAAGTGATAATGTAAAAAAAAATATTTTGTTTGAATTGATGAATATATGTATCATTTTCTTACATGTAGAACAGTTTTAGAATTACGTATTTATAGAATGTCCATAGAATAACTTATTAAAATTTAATACATTTAATTTTAACCACCTCAGAACTCCTGAACAGCGCAATGACTTCTGGATCTATAGAGGTGGGGAAATAGTCCTTCTCATACAGTGAAGGGAGCAACACTCTCATGCTAGGAAAATCTTTATAGGCCTTCCTCTATACGGGTTCATGACAAAACCATGTCTATAACCCATCGGTCAGAAAGCTGTACTAAGCAGCAAAGCATTTTCCCAAACTCAAGTTTGGAAGCTTTACCAAGTATTCAATAAAAGATGGTGACAATTCAGATGCATGTGGCAGTAGTCTCGGTGTTACCAGTGTAGGTGCACTTGGCTTTGGCCCTTGACTCATCTTCACTCAGAGTCACTGTAACAACAACAAAATATAAGATTGAAGCAGGAGAGGTTAGGGCTCTGGGAAAAGGGCCAGTGACATTGTTTCTTCAGTCAGGGAAAGTATTAGCTGAATTCACATAGTTATTCCTCTTAATACTTATTCCTTTTTTTTTAAGGCCTGGGAAATATTTAGCTGACTTGTCAAAGGAGAACAGAGGCTTTGCCACTGGAGGACAGAGGCTTTGGTATTCCAAAACAGAAAAATTTTAAATATAGCTTTTAAAAATGACTTAAATCAGTGTTTTTAAAGGTTGTCTTTAAAGGTTGCTGTGGCAATGCCTGGTGTGGATATCGTATTAGCTTTCGCTCCATACTAGTGGACCTGATGTAAAAAGATTTGTACTGAGTGAAACAATAGATGTGTCCTTACTCCTGAAGCTTCTTAGAACAAGTTAATTGAGAATTTGGCAGAATGAGGGCATTCACATTTTTTTTTAACCTTGAAACCTATATTTATGTTGTGTTTTGAAGGAATACAAAAGAAGCCCAACTTTCATCATAACAAACTACTATGCCTCTCTACACAGGCCCAACAAGACCATCACTATGACCGATGGAGACTATGATTATCTGATCAAACTCCTGGCCCTTGGAGACTCAGGGGTGGGGAAGACGACATTTCTTTATCGATACACAGACAATAAATTCAACCCCAAGTTCATCACAACCGTAGGAATAGACTTTCGGGAAAAACGTGTGGTGAGTTCTTACCCATACTGTTAAGCTTACTGCCAACCCCTACCCACCCCAGATAAACTAGAAATTAAAAAGCTATGTTTAATGCATTCAAATCATCTGTCTTTTATCACATGAAATTTATAACCTGTCATATTACTTTTTATTTTCTCAACTATAAATGACATGGTGCACAGAAAAATGTTGAGCGACACAATTGCTTGTCTCCAAAAGTATATAGGGCAACTAAAATAAATAATTTATGGATTTACATAGTGTTTTTTCTATGAATTCTTAAGGAATCTTTTAAAACTTGAATTTTGCAGGATCTAAAAACATTAACTCTTAATCTGAGTTAAGTTCCTCAGTAAGAACAAGGGTTCATTTCCTACTCTTAGGAAAGATGTTGAAAGAGTGATTGGCAAATAACTGGAACACGAGCTTTGTAAGTTCTTGCTGCATTTTTATTTATGTGTAGACTTAGCCATCAATCACTTGCTGATTATGAACAGAATGTGAGACCAATCCATGCTATTTTCCAAGATAAGGGAGTTGAAGTGAGAATCGCAACCACTTCCTTCTCCTATGCTAGACGCTAATGACAGGAATGAAGATATTGTGACATGTGAGACGGGTAGCATAGGCACATAAGCCTCGCCAGATTTACTGCCACCCACCCAAGGTGTTCTTGATTGTCAACATGGCTGTGGCTCCCAGTTGATGTCACAGATCTATTCATTCCTTGAGAACTGAGGAAAAAACAACAAAGAAAATGATGGTTGAGAAGTTAAACCATGGTTTCTTATTCTGCCCGGTCCCTTCCCTGGAAGCCGATACACTGTAGTGCTGTTTTAGCAGACTTGCTGCCAGCCCCTACCAGATTTTTTTGTATCTTCTTCCCTCCTCAGTGCCCCTATGGATCTGGGTATAAGTCCTTGCAGTGTTCCCTTTAAAACACTTTCACTAAGCTGTACTTAAGGGAGCTGATGAAATATTAAAATCATTATGCTTTGCTTAATAAGAAGTCAAAGAACCACCATTTTAAAAATTTCAACTTTTTGCAAAAAGCCTTGGAAGTAACGACTAATAAAGGAAGATTCTAAATATCCTGTGTAAACTGACTGAAAAATTCTGTGCACATTTCATGGCTAAGTCATTTTGAACGTCCAGTGCACAATACAAGATATTCACGTATTTGTAAATCATTTGACTGTTTTAAAAATGCCTTCACGTTTCCTATTTCATGTAAGTTTCCAGTAACTCTGTAAAGCAGGAAAAGATTGTGGGTCTCAATTTTGAGGTAAGAAAACAAGTTTAAAAGAGGTTAAATGATGAGTTGATATTTGAACCTAGAGCATGGGTCCTAAATCTAGTGTTTGCTGCCTCTCTGAGGAAATGACAGAAGGTGTCTAATTTAAGTTTGCAGTATGCCTAAATTGTGTTGAAAATCATACTTGTACTTGACATTTAAAAGTGAGAGTATATGTGATACTTCTGGGAAAAAAAACAGAGCAAATATTTATCCTGCACTATGAACTTTGATTATAGTAATTGAGAAAAAACATGTTGAGTGAACCCAGAGAATTTGAATGTTGACAAAATCCAAAGCAGTAAAAACTGATGAAAATCGTATCTTTCAGGTTTATAATACACAGGGGCCAAATGAATCGTCAGGGAAAACGTTTAAGGTGCACCTTCAGCTCTGGGACACTGCAGGACAAGAGCGGTAACGTAGATTTCTTTGCTTCTAGTTACAAAGAGCTCAGAAAAACTTATTTTATGTTTTATTTATTTGTATTTAGTTATAGTTTACTTTCATTATTTTGTATTGGTTTCAGGTATACAGGAAAAAACTGAACCACATTATATGCAACTCTTCCCCTGGTTTCAAAATAGACATTTGTACTGAGAAATAAAAAATCAATTGTTTGTAGTTAAGTAACCATAACTAGCATGGTAGGTTTGGTCCAGATTTCAAAAACTAGATTTTCTAAAATCTCTGTGCAGATTCTAGTTATACATTGTCTTTGTACTGTATAATAGGAACAAAGTAAACTCCGGAATTGAATTGAATTAAGGTGGGAATTTAATACTGCTACAAGTGCTGCTCAAAGAGGGAGTGGGAGGAAGCGGTGTTTAGCTCTTTCTCATCTCTTTCTGTGCTTCCGCAGAGCCTCTCTGTCCTGGGCCATTCGACTAACTTTGTTCTCTAAGACCTTGGACGCAACATGGCCTTCCAGCAGGAATGCTCTACCCTTTCCCGCCTCCCTGACCCTCTCCTTCCCCAGGCCAGGCTCATACTCAGCCTCCCTGGGGCTTTCCGAACACACCCACATAAACAAGCTGCCTCCTCCTTCCGGACTCCTACAACAACTACTCTGCCATCCCTTAAGTTAATTAATTATTTACCACCTTGTAATAAAACACATCTTTTTGTTTTGTCTCTATCTGCTGTTCTTTGATTCACTGTAGCTTTGTCATCCTAAGAAAATCATCAGGTTTATACGGGCTGAGACTATGCTTTGGTAGAGTGTATAAGTTAAGAGATGCTTAGTAGACAATAGTGTTACTTGCTTAGAGCTGGAAGTGCTATTTTTTTTTTTTTTGGCTGAAAGTAGATTTCTTTGAGATATAAGATTTCAAAGTGCAAAAGACCCCAAGCTAGTGAAGTTCTTCAATATCAGATTAAGTAAAAACTGGCAATAGATTGTCAAGATAAGATATTTAGAAGGCACATACCTCCAAATTCTGCATCGCGTGCCTTTGAATGTTTATGCTTGTAAACACTGCAGTTTTTGAAATGCGTCCAAAATGTTCTCGCCTTCAGTGAGTGGAAACGCCAGGAGAGGTGCCGGGCCCTCTCTGTTAGCTTTTTGACTGTGAATTCCATTTACACACATCCTTCAACACTGCTTGCTGGTGCTGCTACAGTCATTCCTCACAAGAATCTCTGTTCATATGTCAGTTTGGTTGTCACAAAGATGTATGTTTTATAGACCGATTTGATTCATATTTGAAGAAGTATTATGAGAAAATGTGGTTCCCATATGTCTTCGCACATGATATGTCAGCCTAGCATGATGGCAGGCTTCTCTCGTCTGTCCCTTTCAGACAGCTGCTCTCGGAGGGAAATGGGGAAGACTAGGGGCCGTCAGTAACAATGGGGTTATTCATCCCTTGGGAATTTTGCATTCCGTAAGTATAAGGTGTAGCTAAGCAACAAGGGAAACAATCCTGCACGCCCTGGCAATCCCCCCTGTGCGAGGCCACCTGGCAGCACAACCCAAATAAGATAATGGTTATCGATACAAGTGATATTATGGGAAGGAGGGAAAAATAACGCCCCTTATGTAGGCCTAAAGGATAGAGGGCACAGCCTTAGTCCCCACTGAGGAAGAACGAGGCATAATGTGACCCTGGGATTGTTGGTTTTTATGGGGTCCTCGCTCTCTCCGCCCTGCAGACAGAATGAGGTTGGTGGGTGAAGCTGGAAATCAATTGCCTTCCCTCTGGAATAAGTCCGGGAAAGCGTGGAGGATAGCAAGGGCACTGGGGAAGAATGGTCCAGCGGGTGAGCCATGTGCAGACTAAGAGCATCTTACCCACTTGCTATGCTCCAATCACATCCATACAACAAGCATGTTTTTAAGTAACTTTGTCATGTGCTGTGGGCAATGAGAGGGGAATAAGGCAGAGTCTTATTTTCAAATAAAACACACACACACGTGGAAAAAGAGCAGGCTGTTGTGGTTAAGTTAGCCACACTATTGTGGTTGAGTAGGAGACAATTTTGTGAGTACAGCTAGTCCCCAAAGAGGGATTCATTCAATAAAAGCACTGTAATCTCTGTGAATTTTCCAGTGACTGGTCAGAACAAATCTAAAAGAAAACACTTGAGTACAGTTTTTGTTACTTCATAATCATCATGACTCTGTTGATCATAATCATCAAAAATAATACTAATTTAGAAATAGTCATTAAAATAGCTCTTCTCCTTGCTTTAGTATTAAAAGTATTGTTCTTCATTGAAGTCATTTAAATCTTTGCTAATTTTATATTCTTTGCTCTGCTCTTTATTTCTTTCTCTTAATTTGACATACATTTAGTAAGCAAATGCTTTGTTCAGGGCCATGAAAACATAATGCACAGTGCGTTAGGAACACAGGCCCTTTGTTCTTGGAGCCTTAGGGCAGTAACTGGAAAACAAAGGGTGGCAGGCAGGTGCACCAAAAGGAGCCCCTAATCTACATGTGGCTGTTGGGAAGACTGCTTGGGGAAGTGGTATTTCCTCTGGTGTGTTATATATATGCTCATACACAATGTATGAGTGAGTCTTTTTCAGGATAAAGGGGTAGGGGGTGAAGGAAGCAGTGAGGCGAGGTCACCCACAGAAAGAACAGCATGTGTGAAAGCGCAGGGGAGAGAGTGAACTTTGTAAGAACTAAAAGAAGATCAGCATGCCTGTGGGTCGTCCAGAGATGAATCTGGCTAGATGAGCAAGTGTCACTTCATGCAGAGCCTTGACAGCTTATTAAAGAGTTCAGTCATTATCTTAAGAGCAGTGCATCGTCATTAATACGTTTTTAGCAGAGGATTTTTATAATGAGTGGGAAGAAAGCAGGGAAGGGAAGGGTCCCAGACAAAACTAGAGACAGGAAGCCCATTGAGAAGGCTGTTGAGGTGTTCCAGGTGAAAGATAATGGGTCCAAAACTAGAGTGGTGGCAGAGTAGATGGACAGAGAAGCGCAGGTCAGGAGATAGTTGTTGATGGTACACAGCTGGAGAAGAAGGAAGAGGGTATGGCAACCAGGAGGTTGGTGATACCATTGTCAGAAAAAGGAGTCAAGAGGAGAGGCCGGTTTGGTTTTGGGTAAGTGCAGTTGAAGGTACATTAGTTCCCTCCAAGTGGAAATATCCGACAAGTAATTGGGTACACAGTATGAGGCAGGAGAGATCTCTGCCTATACATTTGGGATTCAACATACTGGTGATGACGGAGCCAAGAAATGGATGAGATAGGGTTGAGGATAGAACTGTGAGGAGACCAAAGAATCTACAAATAGGCTAAAACAAGGGACCAAAAATTAGGGCATTTAGGAAAGGAAGTGATGACCTCCCTAATTTCAGAGTAGCATGCCCTTCTACAAACTTATTGCCAAATGCACCTCTATCAGTGTATAACCCAACCATCTCTGGTCCGTATGTGTGGTCTCTGGTTTCGCCCATTCCTGACATTGAAGGGGGTCTCAGAACATCTTCAGATTCACTGAGGATGTTGAGGAGGAGGGGGTAGGGGCTGGGGAGAGACAGTCTTTATACTGCCCATGACAGAGTGTATTCTTCAAAACCTTCCAACAGAGATGAGTGGTCTCGCTATCTCTCGCCAATGACTGAGTCTCTCTGACCTTCTCTCAGTTCCCATAATCATTTTCCTCTTAACTCCCTTCTTTACTGTCTTCTCTCTTCATCATGAGACATGGATGCTACTCTTTAACTCCAAAGAGTGTTTACCAAAGAGCATTCTCACTGACATTGTTTTTCCCTACAAAAGAGCTCTTGTTCCAGCTGCTGACAAGTTGTGGTTTTCCACATGTGGTCCTGAGTACTCATTTTCAGGCTACCATGTGCCAAACTTTCTTCTGGGCACAGGCAAGAATGCTTGAAAAGTATAAGCTTAAGTTCCAATGTTCTAAAGTGGGTTACATTTTAATTATGGACCACAGAAGGCCCATGAGCCAATAAGCCCAAGGGGCGGTGTAAGCAAGCATGTGATTGAAGGTCAGACATTCTTGGTGCGTAAGAGCTGTGGAACATAAAGCCAGGGCATGGTCTTAAGATGAATCCACCACCAGATGTCCTTCCATGGCCCTTCAGCCGTCGTTCTTAGTAACTGCAACTTCTGTAGGGCAAACCATAAGGAACGCCATGAGAATTTCATACTTGAAAGGGAAACATTACAATAATGTTTGTATTGTCACCGTAATATGTATATGGACTAACTTTCAAATCTGTCCACTGTGCTTTCTTGGCAGATTCCGGAGCCTCACAACCGCATTTTTTAGAGACGCCATGGGCTTCTTATTAATGTTTGACCTCACCAGTCAACAGAGTTTCTTAAATGTCAGGAACTGGATGAGTAAGTGGGACCAGGCAATCTGTGTGGGCCACTTTGGGACCCCTCAGCTCTGTTTGCTTGTCCACCTCACAAGAGGAAACCAGATTGGGTATCACAGAGAACCTTGGGAAGTCATGAATTTAGTGTTTCCTTTGTCACCTTCAAAGTGGCGGCCTTTATGTGGCTTGGGAATGTATTTTCCTTTGGTGGTCTTAGAAGAGGCCTGCATAGCCTTTTTTTTTTTAAAAAGGATTTATTTATTTATTTACCTATTTTTGGTGGGCACTCAATCCACTGAGCCCCACCATTCAGGGTGTACATGGCTTCTTGTCCATTTGTATTTAAGGTCTTTATTTGTGATTATAAGGCCATTAATTACACTTGTCCAGTTCGTCTTTAAGGACTTTTAGAATGATGTGAGTTTCCACATCTATTAGATACCCCAGAGGGGACACAGGGAACCAGAGCCGTGCTTTCTGAGAGGGTATACGGGCACCTAAAATGCGTTCCTTCCACTTGGGTTCACTGATGGGGTAATTAACTAACTAATGGGTGAATTAGGGGAGAAATGGCTCCAGAGAAGACCAGTCCCCACATGAGGGTCAGGCACAATGTGTCAGTCAATCAGCTCAGAGCGGAATTTTACTTTTTTTTACAAAAAAAAAAAAAATCCAAATGTGAGGAAGCCTTGTAGACAAAAATCTGTACAATTTATATATAACATGAAGTTAAAAGTCACCTAACTTGTCATTAAAGACAGAGTAATATATGTCAGCACAGAAGAGTAGTATCTGATTTTAAAAAATTTTTAATCAATACAACACTAAAGAGAATATTTTAGCTGCCTTTTTATTACAAATGTAGCTTTTGATTCTAATGGGATGGGCATGTAATCCTGTGGGGCTGGTGATAGTCTTGCCATGTCTAGATTTGTCAGGCTGTCTGTGGCCAGAGTGGCATTTTTTGTGGAATTGAGTTGTGTTCTTCCTCTGCTCAAAGTCCTTCTTTCCGGGACCTCCCATTTCACTTGGAATAAACCCCAGAATTCTTCACCTACCTACAAGGCCCTTTTTACCAGGCCTTCAATTCCTCTCTACTTCACTCTTGCTCTGTCCCCCTGGCTCTCAGGCCTCTGGCCAAACAACTCCCCTGCTGTTTGGAGGATGGGGACCAAACACTGAGTCCTGCCTGGGGCCTTTGCACGTCTAATTCCCAGGGCCTGGATTTCCCTTCTTCCTTGACAGTGTGTGCAAGCGCTTTTGTCTCCTTCAAGGTTTTGTTCAAACCCTGTTCATCTGCTGGGCGAAGGCTTTCCTGACCACCTCACCTACAATACTGCTCTGCATTGCTTTGCATCCCCTCACGACGCCTCATGTGGCCTTTGGTGGCTGCTACCACCTGATATTATATTGTATTATTTATATTATATTATATTTCTTTGTTTACTGTGGCCTTGACTCCCCACCACTAATGGGCTCTAGGAAAGTACAGGCTTTGTCTGTTCTGTTCCATTGCAACAGCCCAAAGCCTGGGTGTCTGGCACAGAGGAGTTCTCTCTATGTTCTTACATATTCTTGTTATTCTATATGTATTCTTACTATTATGTATTATTTATAACTATTAACTTATACAACTGCTTTAGATGTGAGTTCAATCACCAAGTTGCTGCCATGGGGAAAAATATTGCTTCCTCCAAATGAGTGTTTATCCTAGGATCTGTCTCTATATCCTGTTATTACTATATTTCCATATTCAAATTTTGGTGTTATTATTAGTTCTGAGGAAATAAGGAGACAAGATTATTAGATACTTTCAGGGAATTATTTCTTCATCCTTTATCAAGGCAAATGAGACTCTCCCTTGTTTTTAAAAAAAAAAAATCAGAAGGACACTAACAGGATTTAAGATAATTAATTACTATGTCCAATAATACTTTAATTTCTGACACCCAGATAATCGGTGTTATAGGGTAAGCCTTTGTGTCCTTCCTTGGCAAATTGCATGCGGCATGCCTTGGGAGAGCATTAAAGTAATCCCTGTAACCTCAAAAACACACGTTGACAGATTTCTTATCATTCCTTCTCTCCTTCCCTCTTTCCCTCCCTCTCTCTTTCCCTCTCTCCTTCCTTTCCTCTCTCTCTCTCCCTCTCTCTCTCTGTCTCTCTCTCTGTCTCTCAGTGTTTCCTGGAGTAAAGAGAAAACCAGGTTTCCTGTCTTAAAGTTGTTTCTACATAAATTTGTGGTGGATCAAAAGTGTTCTGCTTTCATAGATCTTCACCTCAGGCTTCCAGGGGATGAAACGGTAGCAGACACCTTATGGAAGGAACATACTTATGTGCTTCACAATTATGTCCTCTTTTCTCCACCTAGGTTTCAGAAACAAGTGGTATGAAGCAGTATGTCCATCGGGAGGGTCCTTCCCCAGATGGAGAAGAGCACTACTAGGTGTTCATATAGGCGCTGCATGTAAATTGTTATTAATACTTATAACATGCAGTTTATGAAGCATTATCTCCATTTTACAGATGAGTAAACTGTGGCTGAGAAAAATTCAGTAACTTGGCTAATATAATATAAAACACTGGGGATGGTCAATGAGATTAGGAATCTGATATGAGCAGTCATTCGCTATCACTTGTTTGTAACTAACTTGCTGGTTCTATTTGCTTTCTTTTGAAGGCCAACTGCAAGCAAATGCATATTGTGAAAATCCAGATATAGTACTAATTGGCAACAAGGCAGACCTGCCAGACCAAAGGGAAGTTAACGAACGGCAAGCCCGGGACATGGCTGACAAATACGGGTAAGTTGGTTACATGGTGGAAGATGGGGACCAAAGGCCCTGTCCTGCTGGGGGCCTTTGCACGTCCAATTCCCCGGGGGCCCCTGGGATCTTTTTACTCTGCTGCTTAGTGATGGGGCAGTGACTCAAGGTTGCCACTAGGAAGAATCTCCTTGAATGAAGAATGACACATAAATGGAAAAGATCTTCTAGAGGAGTGGACATGATATTTTAAATCAATTATTCAGTAGTAACAGCAGCTAATATTTACTGAGTACTTACTATGTGCTAGCAACGGTTCCTAGACTTTAACTCATTTAATCCTTCTTAACCATTTGTAGGAGATCTAGACTTATCCCATTTTATATGGGAAGAATTGAGGCATAGAAAGATTAATAGCTGATGGGAGGCCATAGAGCTGATAAGTGGCAGATCTTGAATTCAGCCCAGGCAGTCTGAGGTCAGAACTCAGGTTCTTCAACACGGTGCTCTACTGCCTCTCCGTGAACAGCTGCAAACCTCTAAAGGTAACACCTGGTATGGACATAATATTGCAATCTTTAGCCTAGGTGAGTTTAAATGCCAGAGTAAACATTTAAAAGCACCCCACACAATGATAAATTGACTTCCAAAACATTGTATTGCCAATTTTTTGGATTCTCCTTGAGGGCATTAAAAATGTACATGTATTCCAAATAAGTATAGACTATTCACAAGAATATCCTGTTCGGTGCCTACTTAATTTCTAAATTAGATTTCCGGATTATTGCTTGGAAGAGAAATAGTACTAGCCATTTTAGCCATTTTCACCCTCTTAAAAATTTAAAGAATAGTTACAGTGCTTTAACTACAAATTTCTGAGCACCTCCTGTATTGCTCATAGAACTGGTTATTGTCACACTAATGAGCATCCTGCCGATTTTTATTCACAAGAGAAAAACAAGGATGCTTTCCAATTTAGCCAGCAAAACCATGATGATTATGCAATCTCTATCAGCCACATTTTTGTGTGTGTGATTCATTTGTACATTGGGTATCTTTGCTGATTTCTTCCTCTCAGAAATATTTGTCTTCTCTTTGCACTAGCATACCCTATTTTGAAACAAGTGCGGCAACTGGCCAGAATGTTGAGAAAGCTGTGGAAACTCTTCTGGACTTAATCATGAAGCGAATGGAACAGTGTGTAGAGAAGACGCAAGTCCCCGACGCCGTCAACGGCGGAAATTCTGGGAAGCTTGACGGGGAAAAACCAGCAGAGAAGAAATGCGCCTGCTAGACTTTACACAGGGCCTCATCATCAAGGGCCCCAGCCTAACATCACTTCCCACAACAGTGACAAACCACAAAATTGTTGCCATGCAAAATGGCGGATCTTCCTTTCCTGCCAGAAGATCTGTTTTAAGAGACCAAAATAGTCAACGGTATTCAAAAGAACTGACCAGTTGTTTCTGAGTCCCCTTCAAAGAAGAGCAAAGATTTCCTAATGTGCTCTCACCAACACGGATGTCCAGTTTGTTTTTCCTAAAAAGAAGACAAGTATGTAAGACAGTACACAAGATGAAATAACAGTGAGTTTTAAACCAGAGCAAAGTTTACCTTGTCACATTGGAGAAAGGGATAGGTTTCCAAAGGAAGAACATAGAAAGATGATTTTTTTGTTTAAAAAAAAAAGACTGTTTACTTCTTATATTGAATATAATCACTACTTTTAGGTTTGCAGTGGGGAAACATATTAGTTAAAAATGGATACACAATAAAGAATTCTAAATGGATCATTAAGAATGATATTACTTTGTGCACCCAATAAGCTATACTAGAAAGACTAATTTAGTGATGAGGTTGTAAGAGGATGAATGTCAGACTTCTTCTAAAATGCAGACAATTGTGTAATAATGCTATTTTTATATTCTTAATAAATGTCAGATAGACAAGAACAAGATTGTGAGTGACAAAGTACAAGGGAAATGCCCTGGGAGAAAAATGAAAGTAGGGGAAAGTGGCATTTGGACAAATGAGATTAAATGTGTCTGTTACAGATGCCTGGAAGAGTTACTTAGTAAACTTTCACTCAAGCCAATTAGAAGTTGACATTATTCATTGGGATTAAGATCCAGAGGTTTCCATTTCAAACAAAATTTTAGAAATAGTTTCAGGGTTCAGCTTCACATTTTATTTTATTTTTTCTAAGTAAATGGTGACAAAGATTGCTCTTTATTAAATATCTCTTTTTAAAGGTAGCCAAAGAAACTATTTCACCACAATTTCTCTTAAGTAAATGTGATGGCGACATGAAACAAAAGTGACTATTAATTGTGGGTTTCTTTTCAGTTTACAAAAGCACTGGAAACTCTAAATCACCTTTCTCCCCTCTAACCCACACCTACCCCTGGCTTTGAATCAATTGTAAAAATACAGGTGTGTCACTTTGTAGACCAACAACTTCAGAATAATGATGGATCAATTTTAATGGTTACTCTGAATTTTCATGTTATTAATCACATAAAAATTGATGGCAATTCATGCCATATTACAATATATTTAGTAGTTGTTTTCATTTTGCCTAAGGCAAAAGGCCCATAGTTGACCTATATTTGGGGATTGGGCAGGAATGGAGCTGTATGTTATTTCACCAAAAATTGGTAAATAACTCTATTTTCTTCACAAGAAGCTGCCTTTTCTTCTTCAAGATGATGACAAAAGTATTTTTCATTGGCCTATTTTTATCATTGTGTCTAAACTAACGTAACCAACTCCTGTTAAACCATCATTTAAATATTTCAGTGAATTTTATCAATAACAAAGGCATTACACTTTTAAGTTTTCTTTTATATTAAGAGTATGTGATTTTTCAACAAAATTGTTCCTCTTACTATAAAATTTTCCCAGATAAACATAATTTTTTCCAGCTCGGTGCGTATTTATTTTGTTAAGTTACAGATGCTGGGAACCCTAAACTCAGCTCCCTGCTGCCCACCCTTAACCTCTGCCTGCCAACCTCTATCTGGTATCAAATCATATTTAGGAACACAGATCCAAAGGAATGTCTATATGTAATGATCTTAGTGTGGGCTAGTCCCAGAAATGTGCCATGAATCAAAGCAATCTGGAAGCTTTGATGAGTTCGCCCATCGTCAAGTTCTTGCTGTTTGCTGCCCACTTCCTCTGGCTTCTGCAGCGCGGGGCCAGCTTCTAAGATGGGTCACGCTTGCGTGTTGCCTATAATGCTGTTTTTCTCCACGATGCTCTTCATGACCTCAGTACCTGTGTCACCAGGATGGAAAGCTGTTAGCTAACATGAAACATGTTTCTTTTGGAAAAGCGAACAGAAACAATGTAACTATTGCTACAGCTAAATTTGGTGAACGTTTGAGGTCATTATATCAATTTTTTATTTGGATCCCAAATTGTGATTTCCCTTACTTTTCCATAATATGGAATGTTTAGCCTTTATAAAATCCTAAAGGTATTCTATTTTGGATATGTCTTTCTATTTTCTTTTAATTTTCCAGTTATAGGATTGATTTGCTCATGCCAAGATTCTGTCATTGTCAGTTTATTTAACAAGCATTTGTTCAGGGTCTATTTTAAGATTGTCATTTGATAGTTGCAGCACGAAGCAGAGGGTGATGATGTCCATAATTATAGAACGACGTCTGTAAAAAGAACAGTTATTGGGTCATAATCTCAAGAATAACAAAATTTAAAATAGGCAAGAAATTTATAATAGTATCCTACTTATAAAAACTTGATCTAAAAAATATTTTTCTCTGTGGAGTTTGAAATCTCACCCCAAATTCTACGTAAACATAAAATTTTAGAGACAAATTCTTTCTCTCATTATTGCATAATGTTCTATATTATTTATTTTACAACCTCAAATAGATTTGGGGCCACAAAGTATGCAGACTACCTTAGATAATTGCATAGTCCCTCTAACCAACAATGACATGTATTTTTAACCAAGATGCGTCCGGTTACTAATTATCTCCCAAATGCTCTAGGAAACCAAATTGCATTTTGGAAAACTATTTAAAGTGTACATGAAATTCCTTTCTGATACAGAAACCATTTCTGGAGCGTTTCCTCTGCTTCAATGTTTACATTGCTCTAACACAGTGCCTCGGACACCTCTGTGACCAAATTTGTCTCTAACCATATAGCTCATCCTGTAATATGTTGTAGGAAGGCCTCCCCAAGATCCTAATGCAGCTAAATGTCTTTGATGTTTTTAGCAAGGGGTTCAAGGATGTTATCAGAATCTGGAGATCATAACCCCCATCTCCTGGTCCCGTAGCTCAGTTCTCACGAGTGAGCATTACTTGAGACTCTTAACAGATTAGGTTCAAGGTTATCTTTCAATGTAAAAAAAAAATCATTTGAAAAATGTATCAGAAACAGTTGAGACATCAGTGTTTGCCTTGGTATGATGCGGGGTGACAGGTCATGAATCAGCACAGAAAATTCTAAATTCTGGGAGCTGAGCTGGTAGGTCTCTACGTAAGAGTTTTCAAGTGCTTTCAAGTCATACTCTAGCCGGGTTGCTACCATTTACATATTATCAGCTATCACACTGCAAAAAATTCAAAGCCAGCATTTTCTAAAGTAAATATTTTATCTTGTTTTTAATCAGATGTGCCATGCTATGTATGGGGGGTGTCTTTCTTATGCTTCTAGAGTTAGGTATTCTCTACCAATCAATATAGGTCAGATGAACTGGGCAAGAGTTTTAACCAGTCTTTATGAGAGAGAGAAGCTTGACAATAGAGAAGGACATGACTATATTTAAAAAAAATAATTTAATAAGAGCCAACTATTTTTTAAACTGAAAATTGAGCCCACTGGAAATCAACAAATTTGATGAAGCTCATATTTTCACCAATAGAGTGAGTGCAGTGGTTAGAAAGAGAATGGATATGTGCAATAGATAAAATGTACAACTAGGTACAGTATATGCCCTAGAAACCTGTGTCTATTAAACAGATTGTTTACCTCTCTATATATCCATTCATGTGGATACAAAGATGCTGGGCACATACGCCGTCCTCATTGTGTATCACACTAAAACATTTGAGGGAAAACCCTCATCCATAAAGAATTTTGGAGTTTAAAACTCAAACTTTAAAGAAATAATATTGGAGTTTCTATTTCCTGAGATACAGAATAACTCTTCAAAAGGAAGTTCTGAAAGCTGATGTTAACCAAAATGATTTTTAAAAGTTAACTTTCACTCTCTACTACCTAGCCTTAAAGCATTAAGAGAAGTCTAGAATATTTAAGTATTTTAGGGAAAGCTTTATCAATTTTTCAAGATGTTACCTATATTTGAAAAGGTCTAAAAATCCACCAAAAACTATATTTTTTTTCTTGATTCTTGACCAAGATGATATAAATGTATTTCTGAGCAGAGTGGTAAGCTCTCAACATGCAAAGAAGATATAGAATATTATCTGAGATGAACATTGTCTCAATTCTTTATAAACTCCTAAAAATACTTGTCTTATAAATTAGAACTGATAAAAATTATTGCTAGACAGAGTGGGAATTTCATAAACATTGCCTTAGAATTCTTGGGTGGAGACCCAACTACAATGACATTGTTGAGCAAGAGCGAATAGGAGAGATAAGAGTCCATAGTTTCTAAATAGCATTCTTAAATATGACAGAACATGGAAAAGTTCATACTTATAAGGCTGCATTTTTTAAGTAGGGGAAAAAAAAAGGGCAACAGTTTTTGTAACTAGCTCCATGGCAAATATTTATCCTTCATTTTTATCTATCAAGTAGAGAATTATATCCTGGGAACTAAGCTAATAAAAAGTATTTAAGCTAAAATTTCATTATTAGCATCAAAATTTCGGAAACAAACATTTTTATCTGAAACTCTTTTTCTCCTAAATTGGAGTAGCATCTCAAAGATGCTTTTCTGCAGAGCTGGTTATCAGCAGCCTATGGTTGAAACTCTAACATCACATACAAAGAACAAACACCAGTGCCAAAAAAGTGGGGTTATTTGAAAGGGTATCATCTTTTGGAAAAAAAACATACAAATGAATCACCTTTGTAGTGAGTCATTTAAATGTTCTCCGGTTCTTTTCTTTCTCGCAGATCATGAAAGTCATGGCTAATATCCCTAAGTGACTTAGTCTTTAAGGATCTTTAGCAAATTTTGTAGGAGCTGCTACGTCTGTCCGTAACCTAATGGGTCCCTTATTTAACCAGTGGTTATTGTCCATATGTCTGTTGACACATCAAAATAGTGTCCCTAGCAATGCAGAGTAACACATAATACTTATTCTTAATCTTCTATTCTCTAGGTTATTGTTTCAAACGCTCTTTGAGAGAAAGCCGAGAAATAGAAAAGAAAGTGTCCACAAGTTGGGGACCATGTGTATGTTATTAACTATCTTAGTAGTTTCTCCTCATATGGGACTTACAAGTCCTGTTGAGCCTCACAAGGTTCATGTCAGGCTTCGTGGTGAACATATCTAAGAAACTGGCTTGTAAGTTATGTTCCGTTTCATAGGCAGACACTATTAGCACAAGCTAAGAACTGATCAAAAGTCACAGTCATAATTTAAACCACTTGTGAGTAGAAGTGTCATAGCGGGGATACAACTACTTTTAGTAGATATCTTGGAAGCCACCAGTGGGGAGTCAACTTGAGGTTATTGTATTTGATGGAAATGTTTAATATATCTCAAGTTACTGAAAAAAAAAGTTCTATTTCATTTCGTATGTCATCTTGTATTTCTTTCAAGGAGTCCAATTATATCCTAGATAGTATATTACAACGTGCTCAAAATACTCCTTGTACAAATAGGGCTTCTGTGTCCATGGCCTTGTAAAAGATACTGACTGTATCTGAAATTATTTAATAAAAGTTAGTTATCCTGCTTAATGTGTCAAAAGTAGATAATGTTCTGACATACCACTGATGTGCTTCACCATATCCCAGTGGTCTATCTTTAAGTGATATCGTCCTTGCTTTTAGGCTAAGCACGTTTGATTGTTTTGTTTGTCATCTGCACAGATCTGTTTTGTCTAGTGCTATGACTGGAAGTTAAAACTTTAGAGGTTTTCTTCTCTATGCCCCTGAACAGACTGTGGTGCCTGACAGACGCTGTTAGGTCATTATACTGTTGTACCAAAGTTCTAGCAACTTCAGAAATCATAGCATCCAATGATTTTGTGGTGTCTGGGTTTGAACACTATGGTTGAGAACTGTATTCAGTGATTGTCCCTGCACACTTTTCAAATAAAAATGCATTTTTATCAATTATTTTGAGTCATCAGAGCAATCTTATTTCAGTGCTAAAGTTCAGCGTGTGATGGGTGGGGAACAGTAAATGGGTTTAAACATGAAACTTGCATTGCGTTAAAAATGGTATCCAACTGACACTAATATAATGCTTTGTCAATTATACCTCAATTAGAAAAGAAAAGCTATCCATTAGGATGCAGTCAAGTGATTTTATCCAGCTCCCTAAACTTTGTCATTTATTATTTAAAGACCGAGTTTTGCAAGGCAAGTTTTCTAATAACTTTAAATGGTGCATTCATAAAATTGGCGCTTAACATGCTGAAGTATTCTATGGCACATAGTACTTTCACATGTTATAACCTATTTCTTCCCCATAACAAAATGCTGAGGCACATGGCGGTATCTCCCTTGGTCACAGGCTGGTGAAAAGACCATTATTCAAGGCAAATTCAAGACCACAACCATGCAGCTTCCATTTAAGTGTTTAGCCACAAAGGCTGCCTTGCTCCAAGCTGTGCTCCCTTCATCTGTTACTTAAATAGGTATTGTCAAGATAATGATGTATTTTTCATTGAAAGATTGAAAACAACTCTCCCACTGTAAGCAGATAAATGTTTGACACCATTTTCCCACCTTTCCTTGCGGTAGCAGTAGTGCTGTTTCACACAGGCAGAATCTTGGTCGCTGGCTTCATCTTAGATAATTCAAGACAAATCATTAGGGACATGCTTTGCCTAATGTTTTATAGGATTTTTAAATAACCATAATGTGCCCTGCACTGAGAAAAAAAAAAAAGATCTTCTAAACATTCTCTGTCTGGGCTGATAGGATTTCTGGTTTTAAAACTGTTTATAAGATATTATTATTATTCACTGTTCTCTATACCAAGGAATTTTTTTTTCCTAATCTGGATTACGTGTGAGCATACTGTTCTGTTAGAAACCCATTTAGATGACTTGCACTGTGGATTAGGAAAACAAGGCACTAATTATAATTTGACTAAGGCTGTATTATAGGTACCAGAAACATTTTGTGTTAGTAATCAGATCTTTGAAATGATCATAGCTTTGGACCATTTTCATAGGTCTCTGAGAGAAAGACTCATCAGACCCAAAGACCCAAAAGGGTTAAAAAAAAAAGGGGGGGCAAGGTTAACAACAGGAGATTTCAATCTGTTTGATCGCTTCCCCAGGGAGATTGACATCAGGAGCTCATTCATGCTCACAGAAAACGTGAAACAGAAGGAGAGACCTCAGTCATGCTAGTTAATACATTAAATTACGAACACACAGTGCCTTGCTCCCAAACGCCAAAAGCAGTCTCTTATGAGTCGCCTGGGCAAAAAGGGTAGGTCAAAACAAGACCACGCAACTGAACTTTTTACGAGCACTTTGCCCTTCACTGGCCCCTCCAGTGAACATGGGCTTTCTCAATAAATCAGACAAACATAGACCAAGGAGGGGATTGGCATATGGATTCCTAGAAGTCACTAGGTTCCCACAGCGCAGAAGTCAAAGAACTAGAGGAAAAACTTACTGATTGAATAAAGGAATGATTTATAAGAAAAGGAAATATGAAAGAACATGCTGCATGGAAAATTATTTAGAAAATATTGGGACTTATTCTTCGCTGGCCAGTCTAGCTCATGTCCTGGCTATTCCGGGCACACCTGGTCTAGCCATCCTGCAAAGTATGTGCACCTGTGCATGCTTCTGCCTCTGGCCTCTCTTCCACCAAATGACGGCTCCTTCTGCCCACTTCCCTATCTTTCTTACCATCTTTGCTTCAATGTTATCTTCAAAGAGAGTGTTTTTTTTTTATGCACCAGAAGTGATGCCTTGTAACTTTCTAAAGTCTTTTCATTTTTTACTTTTATTTCAATTTTATTTTTCAATTACAGTTTACTTTCAATATGATTCTGTATTGGTTTCAGGTGTACAGCATAGTAAGTGTGTTCTTATTTTAAATGGCCATCCTGTTTAAATGACCATAGTTCCAACTATCACCTGACTTAAAATTGCAGCCACCACCTTTCACCCCTGGTAACTCCAGATCCCTGAGTCTGCTTTATTTTTCCTCAGAGTCCATGGAACATCTCTGACTTATTATTTCTTCCTCATCACTGGGCATATTTACATGAAGGTAGAGATTTTTCCCTTTTATAAAAATTCCTGCCCAGATGCACCCCCTCCCCTCTCCTCGCTGTTGTAGCCCTAAAGTCAAGACCAGAGTCTGACAAATAGGGGGCACTCAATAAAGATTTGTTGCAAAAAAAATGAACGAATCCTGTATGACAAATTGATGGGTGGATTGCAAAATAACAGTGCTAACTTAAATTTTTGCTAATCTACTGAAGCAAGTATTCAAATATTTAAATTATATCATTGATTTTTGCAAAGACACATGCCCATGAAAACATTACCATTATCAACATGTTGAACATTACTAAAAAACCTTGCATGCCTAGGATCAACCCTAATTTTCCATGTTTCTACTACAATTTTAAACACTTAAGTATATACTTTAACGATAACAAAACAATTAAATATGATAATTTAAATCTTTATTGCACCCTTAATGTTTCTAAACAAAAAATAAGAAGGAACAGAATTATAATGATCATGATCTTAATTGAGGGAATTTTCAGTTATTGGTGAATTAGATCCTTATTTTGATATTAATAAGGATACTATAATAATTTGCTGGTCAGAGGAGAGTTAGGGATTTTCAAAGTGAAGAAATATGAAAGAATTTTAGAAGTTTGTGTCCTTAATTTCATAATGCTACCTTTTTTTCCAGTGTAGAATATAAAATGATAGATTACTTTTGTCATTGATTTGGATCCAGGACGAATTAGCAGAAAATTCAGGGAGTTATCTAAATCTTTTTTACTGACAAAAACAATCAATTTAGTATTAATTGTATTATCATGAACAATCAAATAAAGAGTAGTCAATTCATTTATGCATAATTTTAATGATCAAAGAAACATTTTTTACAAACAATAACATCAGTTTCTCTATTGTAAGGTACAGGCAATTATTCAAAAGCTATATCAATTGTTTAAATATTTCTTAATAATAAATTGTAACACTATATGTAATCAGAGTGAAACAATTTCTTTTCACGTCCTACTTTCATGGATTCACCTCAAGGCTCACCTCAGAACTTCTTATCCAATATTAATTACTGTAGGTACAATTATTTTGACTTCAACTGAGCTAGTGTTTCTTGCTGTGTATTTTCTATGTGGAACTACTTTTAGACTAAAAAAGTTTTCCACTGCAATCATTTGTTTTATGACTCAGAAACGTTTATTTAAAAAATATTTCAAATGATAGAAGTTTAAATTAGGCTACAGGAAATAATTGATATATGACAAATAAATAATCCTACTCATGCTACTAAAATAATACTTTTGTGTTTGAAGAGTTCAGATCTTTTTAGATTCCTGAACCTGATTATTTATAGACACAGATCCAAAGACCATTCATTCCAAAGTGAACCTGGATACCCCATAAGAAAGTCCTATCTGTACTTCTGTGTTCAAAAATGAATATAGTTAAACCAAAATGAAATTGAACAGTCTCCATTTTTGACTTTAGAATACATTTTTCTAATGGAAACCATCTAGGCTGTTAGATCAGTTAGATGGGTTCATTCACAATCCTATATTTACTACAATCCAGCCTGATGATTGATGGGTAAGAGAAAATTACATCATCTCTGAGTGAAAGGTAAATTCTTCTACTGCACAGCTATGTAACATTCCAAGGGTTACAGTACTTTGATGAATATATAAATCTATTACTGCACCTCATTTGTTCATGCCTTTAAATATTTCATAGATAATACTGGTATTCCACGCTCTACATTGAAAGGCTTTAAGCATCTTTCCTGAGAAAATGGTTATAGTTATACACCAGAGAGGATGACCAAAAGGCTTAAAGCCATTCAACCTGTAGGGTGGCGAAGGCCTCCCATTATTCCTTTAGACAACGCACATTCTGCTTTTCTGCTTTGTTGAGTGTCACTATGTTTGCATTTCTGCAAGTCAGAGTTTGGTTTTGCTCACAGTAATCATGAGCTCCACCTGTAATGAATGTATGTACCAAAATTCAAGCACACTTTCACAAAAGCACTAGAAATATGATTTTAATTCATGAATTTGAATTTTTGGCTGCAGGCAGCAGCCACAGCTCCTTTGAACTCATTGTACATATATTTTTATGGAGGTATGAGCTAACAACATTACTTAGTTAATATAATGACTATTGAAAAGAAAATTAGTCACAAAAGCAGAGTCAAAAAGTGCATTCCTTTGTATCTATGTGGGGGAGGGGCATTGCCTTTAGCAACCAACTTCCAATCCCAACTACAGACAGCGGTTTCCTCAGGTGTAGTGAGGTAGCCATGATTCTCAATTTGAGAGGGTTGTGTGTGTTGGGGAGTGAGCTAGAAAGAATCTCCCCCTGCCCATAATTCAGTGGAGAATAACTGTTCCATTAACAATGGTCAGAAGATGACCTTAAATCTTAAGATATTTTTATTATTCAAAAGTCAACTTTGAAACATAACCTTTATTCATACATATTCAAACTCTTCCTTCAACTTATATAAATAAAACACCTATTGAAAGGTCAAAGTTGACAACCTTAACTGCTCTCTTCAGCAAAAACCTGCGAGAAAGATTCCAATTTAAAAAATTTTAGAACAAAATTCATCTTCCATCATTGCAAAGCACCTGGTTTCTTTACCCATTTATTAAGTTTTGAAGAGAGATTTCCTTCCCTCAAATAAATATTTGTTTGATTCCTGGAATGTCATCTTCCTGCAAAGTTGTTGGTATATAATGAATTCCATGAAATACTGGCACTGAGCCATTTTTAACACGTAAGTTTGGACTGTGTTTCAAGGAATAAATGGGACCCGCGTAGTGCTCTCTCTCATTCAGTCTTCAGCCAGCCGGCTCATTTCCGTAGTCTAGCCAACATGAAGTAGGGGGTATCGCCTTCTGTCTTCAGTTCACTGTAGAAAAGACCACACAGTCATCAAGATCGAGCACGTTCACCCGTAAGGACATAAATGCTGTACCGCCACCATTACCACCTCCCTCACCCTCTACCACCACATCAGAACCAATTGCTTTAATCTAAGAGATGGCGGTTAATAGACGGATTGTAATTTCCCATGAAACAAAGAAGAATCACATTGTGGAAGCATTAACTTTATGTAAATTCACTTAGTTGTTCTAGGACAAGACTGAGGAAGTGTCAGGGGATGCGAGAGTTAGAGCCTGTGTCTGGCACTCCCCTCAGTGAAGACATGCGCCAGAGTGACTTGGACATGGGAAACCCATCGGTGTTCCCTTAGGACATTGTACTTCCGTGGATTTCACGAAGCCTGACCTTCTCTCCTCACCATGTGCATGTGCATGCACACATATGTATGTATGTATGTGTCTGTTTTGTTGCTGTCATTGTCATTGTCTAACATGACCCCTAATCTCAAGCAAGATGTTCAACCCCAGAAACATCTATATGTTCTAATACTTGAGGAAAAGAAAAAAAAATGATTTCTATTTTGGTACTTATTGTGCGAGGTAGCATAGAAATATATTTTATGGGTGATATAAGAGACTTGCCTAGATTAACTTTTAAATGTACATTTTTTTTTTTGCTTTAATAGCTACTTTTAAACTCCAGTCTCTCCCTACAGTTATAATTCCATTGTATGTGGGTGAATCCAGACTTACTAAACCATACTACCACTCACATTCTGAAAGCAGCCAATTAATCATATTTCATTTTGCAAACATGAGACCATCGAGATAGGGTACATGGTGAAATGGCTATAACACATAAGGGCTACTGGGACTATCACAGAGATAGTAAGACCAACCCCAGAGGATTTATGGGTGAGGACCTGCAGAAAACCAGCTCATCCCACATGAGGACTAATTTTGCCTATAGTACCCCTAGCCTCATTACACGCGCGTCACACAGGAGCATGCTAAACCTCACACCCTGTACTGCCGCTATCAGAAACAGGAGGCCAGCAGAAGAACACAACATGGCCAATGGGACTCTTCCAAGAAGTCTCCACCTGGGAAGAGGCCTGAATCCTCTCCCTTATGGAATGTTCTACGCCTCGATTAAGTGCGCCTCAATGAAAGAAGTGAATCCCACTGGGGAGGGGCTATTCTGCCTGAGGACTGGCCTGCTCTCCTTCCTGCTTCACTAGTCAACTGCCTTCCACTTTAAACTCTGTGCTTCACTAACAAACTTTCACTTTAAACTCTATGCTGGCTTGAACTTGAATTCTTTCCTGCGTGAAGCCAACAACACACAGTGGGTCATGGACCCACTGCCCTGCAGAACACCTGCATCACCATCACATCATTAACATTGCAATTTCTATCAAAAATCGTAACACAAAGGGCAAAGTCAGGCCAGTTTCCTTTTTTCAGTTACAAAATGTTTGCATGTGATTCTGCCCAAGTCATAGGAAGAAAATAAACCTGTAATACTATAAGACTATCTGTTAACTGCAGCTGCCACAGAGTTGGCCGTAGAAGCCATTCTCTCCTGCCCACCCCGCTGTCCCGGCAGCAATCACTACTGCAGTCTGAGCGCTCGGGACTGGCGTGGTCACAATAAGGAGACAGCCAACTCCTGGCCTGCTCCCCTCCCTCCAGGGTCAGAAAAGTGGATGTTGGCCTCCCCAGACCCTAAGGGGAGTGGTATCTGGTGTGGATGGAAACGGGCCACATACTAGCCCTGAGAAGCTCAGAGGAGGCCTGCGTGGCAGCCTTACAAACTCCGAGACTGACAGTTACCCCTTAGGATGATGTGAATGGTGTGAAGTTAAAGTTTTTTTGGAACTAAAAGCGAGTCATGGCAGGTAGTCACGTCCTAGACCAGTATCTTCCTCGACAAAGGTCAATCCTTATATTAACTAAGCCTGTCTGTTGTTTTTTACATCTATAGTAACATGTCTTTGGAATGTCAGGGTCATTTCCTTTTTCCAGATCCTTCGGGGCATAATCTCCCATCAGAGCCCGGCAAACAACCCCTCACTACTATGCTGTTCTCCTGCATGCCGGCTCTTTGTGCTCCAAATGTTAACTGTCCCGTAGCACCAGTGTAAAAGAAGGATTAGTCTCTTGTCTTACTCTTTATTCACTGTTGGAATAAAGCCATTGGCTTGGCTTTTCTCCCGCCTCCCTAATCTACTATCAATGAATTTCATGTAATCCCCTGCCCCTCACATCTCCTCCTTGGATTCTACGGTATAAAATAAGCTGCAAAGCTGCCACTCTCCGGAACCTCTTCTCAATCTGTTGAGATTTCCCCCCCCAAGCAATTATTGTCCGTTTGGCTCAAAATAAACTCATAAAAATTCTCTCCAGGTTTGGAGGCTTTCTTACGTCCCTGCTAGTAAAGGGGGCAACTGACCACCCTCCCTTCCCTCAGACAGTCCCGTTTGCCTTTCCCTTTTAAACTCTTCTCCTCCCCACCCCCACCCCCTAAAGGGGCTCCTCTTGCTGCTTCCGAAATGAGAGCATTTCACTACCTCCTTTAACACTGCCGGGACAGGCTTTCTTTTCTTTCTTAGAAGTTGCAGGGCTAGTGGCCAAAAAGTTGAGAATGTAGCACCTGAGCCCAAGGATTTTAGACTTGTTCGTATTGGTTTCCTCTCCAGTCTGTAATTACGTGTATCATTAGCAAAGGGGAGCACGCTTGTTGCAGGGAGTTCTGAAGAGGGAGAGGCATCGGCCTGAAGTCCTGGCCTGACACTAATCCCAGCGGCTGATTCTCCAGCTCAGGCATGTGCTGAAGTGCTTTCAGAAAACAGGCTTCTGCCCTAGAGAGGCTGGACTGGGAAATCCAAACGCTGCTAGAACAGAAAGTTTTTAATCGTGTTTTAAATGATTCATGTAATTACAGGCTGTGATTTCTTTTAAGTAATAATTTCATAGAGTATTATGGAAAGGAGATTTGAGCCCAGAAGTCTTTTTTTTTTTCCCTATGACTTGTCACTTTGGATTCTGTCAACACTAGAAAGTGACTTTGATGGTATTAACTATCATTGCCATTGTTTTAGTGGGTCATTATCATTGCTTGGTGGCTCATTATTAAGTAGTTATTGAAGGCACTTGTCCTTAGCAATGCAGGAAATAAAGTAAAATACAAGAAACTATTCCTGCACTCTTGACATTTACAATTCCTTTGACTAGAGGTATAGACATAGACATTTAAATAAATACATGGAATTCATGATTAAAATAGTCCTTGATGGCACAGAACATATGAGTGGTGCAGGGACAAGGACAGAAGGGGAGATGACCTGTTTTGTCTGGGGAAAGTGTTGAAGCCCACATTGGGCTTGTTTTACAGCAAAGGAGAGGAAAAAGATATCTGAATCTATTACTTCATTTATTCAGTAAGTATTTATGTGTTAGGCTTTAAGGACTCGGTAGTGAACAAGATTAACACAGTTCCTAGTCTCTAAAAACTGACAGACGGTAAACAAACAACCACATAAGCATAAATACACTGGAATCTTTCTCCAGTGGGATTCACGAATGTTCAACAAAGGTGTGAAGGTAAATGGGGATAGAAGACTTTACCTTGTAGTGACAGCCTTAGATGCCATTGTCCTAGGAGTTTCGGACTGAAGTGCCACCTTGGTTTTTAGTTCTCTATTCTAAAGTTGGAAAAAATTTGCAGAAATCACATAGCTAGCACATGTATCAGCCACACATGCCTCATGCTTTTGGTCAACCCTTCAACACTCCTTGGCAGCAAGCGTGTTGTTCCAGTCATTCTATCAGAACACAGAATGTGGCCAGTTGAGAGTCACTAATATCTGTGGAATTATCCACTCACTAGCTGTATGAACTCCTTTAGTTACTTAACCTCCCTATACCTAATTTCTTCATCTGTGTAATAGATATAATCGTAGTCTCTTCTCCACAGGTTCTGAAATGAACTAAAAATATGTAAAGAACTCAGCTCAGTGTCTGGCTGAGTTTTAAGACTTAAAAGGCAATTGGTTATGAACCATGCTGAGTGATTGCCCCCTTATGGTATGTTGGCATGATTTTCTTATTCTATGTGCTTATCCATATTTCCTAATTTGTATAGAATGAATGAATATGTTAGCTTTGCAAAAATAATACAAGAAAAATATTTTATCAACTAACATTTGCCAAAAGGCCACTAAGTAAGAAAAGCTGTGAGGAAATGCGTTTAAAGACATTTCTTAGAAGGAAGAGGCCCTAAGAGGAGCCAGGCCCCATCATCTGAGGCCTGGAATGTGCACTGGCCACCCTTACAGGGCACCAGAGGGGGCCCTAGTTTTGAGCCAACTATTCCACCATCACCGTGTTTTCAGCTGGACAGAGCTGTGAGCCTTGTCTTTGTCAAGTGAACAGGCCCCTTTAACCTACCAAAGGGGAGAATCTAAGGAAAGCCTGAGGCTGGAAGAGTATACCCTCTAGAATAAAGAGAACAGTGGTCCTCTGGAAAGGTAGAAGGGGCAGAACAGAGCAATGGTTACAAAATTTAAGGTGGAAACATATTTACAACCCCTCTCTGTTCTTATGACTTTTTTCTTCTGACGGGGTTAGCAGAGAGAACACGGTGGTGGAAGGAATGAAGTGGCACGTGTCATGGAGCCCCTCTCTGGTCCTTCCTGGGGAGCAGCAGAGCTCCCGAAGACGACGAGGTCTGCGGTGGAAGTCAGGGTGCCTCCGTATTCCACGGGACAGGACCACGTTGCGGGGACAGCACGCAGGGAGTCAAAACACTGAGGGCTGATGTAGAAAAGGAGACCAGGTCTAGGCAGTCAGTGACCAGTCATTTGACAAAGGCAGGAGGGGGGCCCTGAGCAGGAGGTGGAGCTGAGGCTGCTGTGGGGTCTGCAGGTACCCCAACCTCAGTGGGGGCTTTGCTGCACTTCCTGTGAGGCAGGGGCGCCCTGCTGGCCCCGGTTGGCAGCTGACGAAGAATGAAACGGGCTTCCCCAGCTCAGGGGGAATAGTGAGAAGATAGAAAAACACGTCTCATCCCAGGAAATTATAAAGGCTTATGCTAAGTTTTAAAATGCTGAAAAGTAAGAAAATAACAGGAGGCTTCTTGAAGTGAATGGGCCTTGAGGCAAAGCTTGGAGGAAGAGAGAAGACACTCAGGGAGGGAAAGACACAAAAACTGGGGACCGTGGATGGCTATCTGACTAGAGCTAAATTCACACAGGAATAGCTTTGACCAAGCTCGAATTCCAGTCTGTGTCATCTGTCTCCCCAGGATAGCAAGTATCCTGAAAAATTTGGATGAACTTTTAACAATTATTTATTAATATTTAATATTAATTATTCAACAATATTGTAAAATATTTAATACTTGACACTTTAAGAACAATTAAGAAAGAGCACTGCTCCCTGAAGCTATAATTTCTTACGCATACAAGATGCACATATACACACTCACAGAAAGACACTCATATATAAACACAGACATGCACATGCACTCACAGATAAACACCCAGACACAGTCACACAATCATACACAGACACACACACCACTCACATACAGATACACTCAGACAGTATCACCATGGCATATCATCATCACACACAAGCACACACACAGATACTCACACACAGGCTCACAGCTCCACCGATACACACACACAGAGTCACATTAGCACTGAAATATACAACAGATTCTTTCCTTACCTGGGCTTCCAGTATGTTAACTTTTTCTTTCAGACTTTCAATTCTTTTATCTTGTTCTTTTAAATTATTTTTTAATCCTTCCAACTAAGAATTAAAAAACACAGTTGGAAAAGTCTTGTGAGACAAAAGGGAATAGTTACTTAAATCAGAAATTGTGCAGGTTTCTATGTTCAAGTAATGTTGAGCCAATAGAAAAAATTAAATCCCAAAGCATTAGGAGACTCAGCAAGCTAAAAAGAAGAGCAGAACAAATTGGCACCTGGGGATGGAACGTGCAGACAGTGCTGTTAAACATTTTAATCTTTGGGAAAGCTGTTTAGACCAAATTTAGCGAGTGCCTCTGTGAAAAGCATTATTGGTCATCCTTTTATGTCTCAGTTCATAAGATTTTTATCCTGCAGATACAAAGGCCAATGGACAAGATGCAAGGCCACTGCCCAGCATGGGGAAGCAGCATGAGGCAGAGATCTGGTCAACCAGCAACATCACGCAGTGAGCCTGCTTCTCTTGGGAAGAAAAGCATCGGCCAAGAGGCAATGTGGAGCCAGGGAGGGGGGCGTAGTTCAGAACAGTGCAGGAAGAGAGGGAACACGTAGATTCTAAGGCCAAGTCTGCCACTATCTTCTCTGTCATTTAACTACTGTGGGCCTCAGTTTTCTCATCTGTCAAATGAAAACGTCGGTTGCCCCAAAGTCCTTTTGGATTCTGAAGGGCCACAAGTCAATTCTCTTGGTGAGGTCCTCGCCAAGCAACAACAAATGCTACATTGATGTTAGGAAGGTATCTGAGTTATTTAGAAAGACTCCTTTTGGAAACAAATATTAGGCAGTAAAAAAAAAAAAAAAAAAGAATGACACTCTGATTTTAAGCCTAAAGCAGAGCCTCAAATCAACAGTTTGAGTATCGGATCCACCATCTATCTGGCTGTTACTACAATGACATCTCTCACTGCCAGGATGGTCCCAGAGAAGAGACAGAGGACAATCCTTCCTAACACTCCTCCTCAGTAAATTTATATGAAACTGATCAAAAAACTTAAGAAAAGGCTGTCTCCAAAACTACAAAATCATCCAAAGAATAATGTGACTCAGTTATCTGACTCAGGGAACCTTTTAAAGTCACCAAGACATCTAAAGAGCAGTTAAACACAATTGCCCTCTATCTGCACTGAGAACACTCCAGGTATTAGCATTACAGACACAAGAGGGCACTGGAAGCAGAGCCCTGTTGGATGGGAATAAAAAGGAACTGTCTGCGGGGGGAAGAACCTCGCTGCTTGTAAAGCCCAGGTGAGCCTCTTGTACTTGGTCTTTTCACTGTAAACATATCATCTACCAGAGAGAGAAAGGCACGTGAGTAACCTGACCTCCTGGATGATTCTGCGCAGGTTCTGGTGTTGGGAGTGAATCACAAACTGCAGGTGTGAGATCTGCTCCTGGAGAAGGGAGATCTCCTTCTGAAGATCCTGGCAACTGGACACACAAAGAAAAAAAGAGGAAACGATTCACAAAGGCATCGGATGCTGTATTTTGTTTGTTTGTTTTGCTTTGTTTTACAGCTGGGCTGCCAGGTTCTCCTCACCCGCTACCTGGCTACTGGGCACCCTGTGAGGAAGACACCCAGGCCCCACACGTGGCACTGAAGATAAACAGCCCCAAGGCAGCCTCTGATTAGCTCAGATGTAAATTTGAATAAGGATGTCAATTCATGTCTAAAGCTCCTTTCTGGCTACTTGTGACTCTCCACCACCAGCAGGTAGTTGAGCCAAGTTGTACTGAGCCACGTGAAGCACGTGCGTATCTAATCTGTCTTGCTGTGAACGCCCACAGACCGAGCACCCGTCAAAATGCACAGATAATTACGGGGCCGGGAATGGAGGCTTTACGTGTATAACAGAAGCCAATTTCCAATGATACAGAGTTAGTATATGCTATGAATTGTTTGTGTTTGTCTTTTTACTTTTTTGGCTTCCTACTTTTAGTAATTCTGCTACCTGTGAGTAGGGCAAGGGCAGGGAGGGGAGGAGGAAATTAAATTCCAGATAATATTTTGAGTCTACATCAACCATTGAGAAAAAAAGGTGGGAGAAGTTTGAATTTAGATTATTCATACTTTCCTAAAGCTCTATTTAGGTAACTAAAATTGATTATACAGCTTTTGAATATTTCTCTCCTTGCCAACGTTATTTGAGTTATGAGGAAACATGCCTCATTGTGGCAAGACCACCAAACCTGCGCATTGAGACTTTGAACTCACACACCTTTCTAAGCCTCAGTATAACAGGTATAATAATTCCTACCTCTTCTACTTCACAAAATTGTACTATATAGACTTAAAAGGTAAAGTGGATGTACTTTTGGAAAATGAGCTCTTTACAAAGTAGTATATTAATACTGTTTTCACTTAATAAGGTTTTACAATTAGTCGCCACTATCCAATGCAAACACAATTCCGATTTTCATAGCCTCTCAAATATTACAGAAGTCATGGAAATCCACGTTGACTCTACAGAGCATGTTCTCATTAGGAAAAAAAGCCTCCATTTGTCTCGCATCATGTACTAAAAATTGCTTCTCAAACTTAACATGCATTCGAGGAGCTGGGTAAGTCATCAGGGATCTTGATAAAATGCATATTCTGACCCAGGGAGCGGGGGCAGGGCTCAAGTGTCCTCATTGCTGGTGAGCTCCGGGGGTTGCCAATGAGTTTGCTGGGCTGCAGGCCATGCCTTGGTTGCTGCGAGTGATGCAGCACTAAACCACAAAGGTGGTCTCAGAAGCTTCCAGTAACTGACATGATCAGCTTGAAATGTCAAAGACAGTCTTTTGATTCTTTTTCACTTTGGGTTTGCATGAGAAGGCTTTAAAAAGAGTTTGTTTTACTGTAGAAAAAATTAACTTCTATAAAACTATAGAAATCCCTGCATAAGTACAAATAATTTATGGTAGCCATTACTATTTACCCTATGAAATTAAATAATTTATACTTTAAAAATACTGTACAATTACACAACTTTTATGTCACAAAATACGTAAAATGTAGTTCATTATTGATCACTGCATAAAAAGTTAAAGCAATCTAATGATCATCAGTATATTGATTAAGCAAATTACGCTATTCCCATGCCACTTCTATTTTACATATACCTATGTATCACAGGAATAGGCTAATAGATTTGATTTATATCAACGATGATTTTGCAGAACGTTATAAAAAGAATGGTCTTTCACAAATGGTACTGAGACAACTGGATTGTCATATAAAAGAAAAGGAAAATTGATCTTTTCCTCATCACATAACAAAAAGAAATTCCATATAGTTTCTTTGTACACAGCTGGGGGAGCAAAGACTTTCAGAAGATAATGTTGAACAGCATCTTCATCTAAATTTGGAATAGAGAAAGGTTTAAATAAAAAAATAGAACTAAAGCAGTATTAACCACAAGGGAAATACTGGTAAGTTTGACTAGACAAAATAAAAAACTAGTCATCAAATAAGCATGAATGGGAGAACCTCAGAATATTGGTAACACAAATGACTAATAAAGGTACAGTATCCAGAAGATATGAGGAACATCTATAAATCAATAAAACAGGCATTCCAGTAGAAAAATTAGAAAGTGACATGAAGAAGCCCTTCACAAAAAAGATGAGTCTGAGGCCTAAGGATCAAAACAGCACAGAAAGCCAACAGAAATGTCACCCACTGCTGGAGCCAAGGTTAAACACTGCTCCAGTGAGGGGGGAAGAAGAAGAAAAGAGCGTCAGACTCAGAACTTTACTGAGAAATTATGAGAAAGAACTCAAGATGCTTTGCTGAGGCAGGCTAGCTTTGAAAATTCGCAAATGTTCTTAAATTCATAAATTGATAAAAAATAAAACTTTCATAGAAATGTTAAAGGCAAGTATTCAAAATGACCTCATTGTCTTGTGATGACCCAGAGCTTGAGGACCAAAGGGAAATACATGGCTTTAGAAGGATAGTGGGGCAGGGGAAAAGGGTAGATATTATGCTCCCCAAAATACAAGTCACTGAAGGTAAATAAAAATCTGAAATAGGTCTCAAGGTGGAAGAGAAGTATTGGTTAAAAGCACTCCTGAAAACATGGTGCTTTCAGACTTACCGGCATTAGTATACCAGACAGTGACTAGAGGAAATCTGCAGAAAATCTCTCTTAGGATTGTTTAATAACCTAGTCATCCATTTAAGGTCTCTGAATATGAGACCATACCTCAATAAGCTGCCATTAGAACTCCTTTTAATCTTTGTTATTTATCTTTCAATGAAAGCACTCAGTCTTAATAAAGAAGTACTATCTTAATAAAGAAGTACTAAAGCAAAACAGCTGGCAGAAAATCTAACAAAGGCCAGGCCTGGAAGAGAACAAGCTCTTTTAACAAAGGTCATTAGCTAGGATTCATGCTTTGCCTCCCGGTATATACATAAAGTAAATGTTGAAATTAAAATAGAATCGAAAAACTTCTTCCACAAAGATAAAAGTATTTTTGCCTATTATTTCCATTAACACGGAAATTATATATAAACAAACAAAGGAAGACTCTGACAAGTGGCAAGGAGAAGGGAGGCCAGCTTGGGACCTTGGAATCCAAGAGCAACACAATGGTGACTTCCCCAAGTTTTCTTTCTGTCTCATGTTTCCCAGACTTGGAGCTGAAAAAGCCCAAAGCCTGGAAATACCAGTGGGAGCAACGACAAAAAAAAAAAAAAAAAAATCCCCCTGCCCCCCGCCCTCTCCCTGTCCCCTGCCAAAGAGGGAAATGTTGGCCCTGCCAAGGAAGGGTTGAGGGTCCTCTCTTAATTCAATAATCAGGAGCTGTGAACAGGGTACTCTTTCTGGTATTATTCCCGTTGGATTCCTTAGCATTCAAGAAAGAAAGTCAATCCTCTCTTTACTTGCAGAAATATGCAAACAAGTGGCTCTACTTTTAGCTACTAACAAGGGACGATCATAGAGTCTGTACTTGGCAAGAAGCATACCCTTGACCTCTCTGCTGGCCAATGTCGGCCAAAGACTTGATCAAAGGAGACGAGTTCATGAAGGACTGTCTCTCTATCCACTTGTTTGGACACTAAAATCTACCTTTGGGTTAAATTACACCATCAGAGGACAGCATTATTGAGCTTGGCCAGGTTGCCCTCTGTTCCTCAGTTATACTGATTTTGATTGGCCTCATGCTATCCTCTGTTAATGGATTTTCTGAGATACAACTTCTGTGTATATTATAAGGATTCAGCTGAAGACATTCTTCAGGTCTCTCTGTATAAGCATATCCTGAAAAATTGTTTCTCTGGCCTTACAGATATATTAAAAAGAACTGGAAGAACTGATTGGCTTTAGTCCTATGGACTTCGTAAACCACAAAACTAGTCATAATTTCCTCTTGAGATTGGCTGCTAGAAAATTTAAAATTGAGTGGTTGACTTAGCACCTCATGGTACATAGCACCTCATGGTACCATTTTGTGCGCCAGCCTCATTATATGCCTGTTCTTATCTCTTCTGGACTTTGTCATCTAACTTATTTCCCATTTAATGCATCATGTTTTATTTTATGGAGTTTTAATAAACAACATTAAATTTTCTTTTTTAAAATTTTATTTATTTATTATTAGAGAGAGGGGAAGGGAGGGAGAAAGAGAGGGAGAGAAACATCGATGTGCGAGATACATTGATCATTTGCCTCTCGCATGCCCTCAACTGGGGACCTGGCCTGCCACCCAGGCACGTGCCCTGACCAGGAATCAAACCAGCAACGTTTCGGTTTGCAGGCCAGCACTCAACTCACTGAGCCACACCAGCCAGGGCCAACATAAAATTTTCTTAGCACTCCAATACATAAATATATAATTATAAAAGGTATCAAAAGCATGACGATGGCCATATTTACACAACCCTGGAATACAACTCTTTTAAGTCTTTACAGTGTATTTATTAAAGGGATTAATGGATTATGATGTATACATGAATGAAAATTCCAGAAGAAATAGAAAGAGCTAGGTACTGAGATGCCAGAACATCATAAAAGTAGCAATAAAACTATGCAGCTGTCCTAAGATGTTATTGCTTCTCGGTATGTTATATTACCCCAGGACTGGGAATATGACTAACCCTATATGGAATTCCCACTTGAGAGAGAAGATAGTGAGGTGAGTCACGTCCTAGAACTTCTGTGAAGCTATAAAAGAATTCTAGAGTCTACAGTGACCTGGATGGCCTGCTATTTAGGATCTAACTTTACTGGTGCTTTATGGTGGCTGTCGCTGAATGACAGCACCCATTGGAAGAGAGAGAAACTGAGGATCACAACCACAAGATCAGGTGAAAGAATAAGCCAAGATGTAGGTGTAGTTCTGTTCACATTTCAACAAAGCTCGAGAATATGTATTCTTATCACCTGTCAAAGTCTTCCCCATTGTCATTTTCAGTGGTGACACTAAATGTGGGGCCTGAGAGAGCCATCCAAGGTATCACAGGTAAACATGCAATTTAAGTAATAACAATGTGCTTTGACATGCAACCTCCGCTTCAAGACACCCTTTCTCTCCTCTAAGGAACTTGCCATCCTTAAATATATATATATGGAAGAGCCAATACACTACTTATCTTTACACACATCAGATCTGTTTCCCAAAGGATAACTATAAAGTGGGCCTGTGTGTTTGTCACAGGACAGTAAGATGCATGGGAAGACGGCCTCCTGCTTGTAGTCACACAGCGGGCTGAGGGAACCCATCTGAGGAAGGTCTCCAGAAGCCTCCAGAAATGAGATAAAGAAGGTCAAGTCTTTTCTGTAGCAGAACAAGAGCAGGCTCTGCTGTGACAATAATAGAGCCAAAACTCCCAACTCCCCAACTTCTGAGAGGCTGAGTAATTTGACAAGCCACTTAACCAACTTGAAGCTCTGTTCCCTTCCTCAAAGGTGGATGGAAGGACTCAATTAAAGAAGGAACCCAGAGTTATGCTATAAACTGAAAGGCACTCTACATGTGCCAGTTAGTGCTGGTAATTGTGAGGATTAGCATAATGATAATATGATATATACATATCCATATGCAAGAAAGGAACCTGTCATTTTCTTCTGAATTATACAAGTTGAGTTATATCATTATCCAGAGATGTTTTCTTAACATTAGAAATGTCAAGTTAGAACCTACTGAATCTTTTAATCAAAATGGCAGAATGAAGCAAACTGCAATTCGAGAGTCGTGACACTAGCCAAACCTGCCATCTATGCCCAAGGGAGACTAAGTCACCTGCAGCCTTGCTTAGGGAAGCAGCCCCAGGCTCCTCCTCGAGTAACGGGAGAACACCCACAGGGCTGGGCATAGGTACCTGCCCGAGGTTATTGGTTGTTTGATGATCAGCCTGCCCAATACAGGAAGGAGTATGAGGCCAGTCAGTCTCTTTCTGTGGAATTTGAAAGGAAAATACAGAGGATATAAACCAGCTGGTGAAAATCATGGGAAAAGGTAACGGATCATGCAGGAAGAACAAGAGAAGAGTGAAACTGCATGCACCGTGACTGAATGGGAGCAACAAAATAATTTGGCTTCTAAAGACCGCATTAGGTGCCAAAGGGTGGCCTCCCATGTGCCCAGAGGTACATGCTCTTTGTGGCCACACCTCTGCAGTCTTAACCTAACGGAAAACACCTTCATTTGTGGTGCCTTTAACCGACTCTCTGCTGCTTGAACCAAGAGTCTGACTCATACTGAATTTCATTGTCTTGTCTCTTAGCAAAGTGAATACCAGCTCAGAAAAAGCAATAAGAGGAATACTTGTGATACTCACAAGTCTATGAAAGTTACCTAAGCCCGGATTTTCAAATGCCATTCTGTAAACACAAAACATCTATTTCCCCCAAGATATTTCTAAAACCTCTTTAAGAACTTTCTGAAAATTCTTTATAACCACTGCTCATATATAATAGAATTGGAAGAATAGATCAATTTGGTTTTCAAAATGGTTACCTTTTTTTTTTGGCTCTAAGACTGACAAAAACCCTGTTATCAATAAAAAGTCATTTTTAAAAGAAAAGAATCAAACTCTGACTGTCTGGACTCTTAATGGAAGGCTCACTGTACCAGCCTGGAGTTCTGCAGCATGAAAGCTCTCTCTATTTAAGGGGTGGGGGGGGGGAATAACATAAGTAAAAGATTTATTTAGAATTAAGTTATAAGTATATCTAAGTAGTTCTAAAGACCTATGGATGTCTTCCCCAGCATTTCCTTCATTCCCTACAGAAATGTGCAGTGCTGTGGAACTCTCTTAGAAGTTTACCTTCTGCGGCTATCCGGTCACTCTACCTTCAGAAGGACTGAACCACCCACCAGCTTCCCTGGAGCGCCAGCGAACCCCAACCCTCCCCATTCCCAATAGATGGGGAAAGGGAGGCACACAACTGTTAATGCTAAGAATTCTCCCCATTCCTGTATTTACACGCCCTTTGTTTCCTTAGAGGGTGGTAGCCTTCTGTCCACCAGCCACTGGTCAGTGGAGAGAAAAGATACGAGAAACTGCTATTACATAGGAGGTAGATTCACTAACCTTTTAGCATAGGTAGTGTTGGATTTGAGTTGCAGCACTTTGTTTTCCAAAGACAGTTTTCTTTCTAGCAGTGTGCTCTTTTCCTAGGAAAAAATAAGATACAATTTTTGCTTCTTCTCTCTCTGTCTCTCAATGTGTGTGTGTGTGGTAAGGCAATCTTGCAAACTGTTCGGAAAAGATGCTTCTTGCAATAGTAGAAATGCATCTTGAGCTAAAGAGGTTATTTTATACGGGACTGTTACAACCGGCCCCAGTGAAGCCTCCCCTGCATTGTTTTCGGGTAGCTCAACATCAGCTTGTCTTCACCAGCCGCCTTCACTCTCCTCGCCTGCCTGGACAGCTTCTGCCCTTCCCCCAGCGCACTGCTGACACAGAGCCTGCTCAGTTCAAAGGTCTCCTGCCTCCCTCCATCCCACTCCAAATGCAGCCCCCCACCCCTGCCCCACCAGCTCTCGCACTGGCTCTCCCGCCATTACAGGCGCTTCTCCATTTGACGAAGCTTTTGGGATCCAAGGACGCTACTGCACGTAATGTGATACCTACCTGCTCACAGAGTAGAAAAGTGGTAACTGCATTTTTAGTGAAGGGTCAAGGTCACAAATAATAAAGTCTCTTCCTAATTAGGATGTAAGAGAAATGACATTGAGAAAGAATTACCCTTAATGTCATTATGAAGCCAATCTCTTTCCATCCGAAAGGAAAATAGACAAGTCCATGGAAAACTAAACTGGGATGACTGTTCTTTATATTTGATGGTCAGAGATTTCTTTTGTACAATGCTGTTTAAATTCATTCCTGCTGCATTATTTCTGTGGATGAAATAGAAGGCGAGGCTGCACAGCGAAAACATTGGAGCAGCTCTGGACAGGTACTGAGCTGGTTTGGAAACTTTGTGGCTGTGTAAGTTTTGCCAGAGCTTCCATGGCTCTGGGCCTTCTTGCTGTTAATAAAAAACAACCCAAACCTGGAAATCAAAGTAATACGCGGCATGTGGTTTTAATGTCATACCGGGTCACTGTTTAATAATCCAACGCAGAATTATTTAATTCCCTTGGAGAATTCCCCTGTGTTTGATTTTTATTATTTACTATTTGATTAGAGCCTGGGCTCTGAAGTTGAAGGTCAATTTATAGATGTCTGCCTGTTTGAAAAGACAATCCCAAAGGTTGTGGATTAATTGCTTTAAAGTATATTAACCAGCTAGGGATCTAGCCTAGTAATCCTGTCCTATATTCCTTTTTTCAAAATGACACTTAGCCTGCTCAATAGAAGGCCTCCTGCCTCCCTCCCTCCCTCCGCAAAGGCAACCCCCTGCTCATCTCTCCTTAGGCACCGTTTCTCAAAATAGTTTATTTAAATCAGTTTTACTGTTTTACTGGTTCCATCAATAATTAATGATTTGAACATCTGGCATGTATTTATTCTGTATTTGCATGCGTCATGGTTTTGACTCTTTGAACATTAATAAAATGGGAATAAAACTCCTATATTGAAGGTTGGGATGGTTGAAGATAATATCTGTGAAAGGCCTACGGATGTACTTGGACCATATTAGGACCTTAATATATAAAAATGGGAAGGTGCCAAACATGTCATATCTTATGTGCTGTTGCTTTTAAAATGGATACTTTTTCAAATTTTTTTCTGCAGCATTCTTGTGACATATAGAAACTCTTCTGGTATAGCCCTATTTGTTTTCAAATTATTTCTGAGTGATCACAGATATGCCTTGTAAGCTTATTATAATACGTGGATCATCATATATTTTGAATTTATAAGGAGGAAAATGGTGTTTAACAAACATTGTTCTTAATGGACTTAAATAATGGATCTTTGTAAACGGGGTGCTAGCAGACCAGAAAATTGGACATGTTAATGCTCTGCTTTGGCAGGGGGTCTTAATGCCTCTTCTTTGGCAACACAGAAAATCACGATCGGCCAGCTTCTCGGGGACAGTGACTTCCAGGAAGGTAAAGGAGTTCACAGCGCCACCCAGTGGGCAATCCACTCTTCCCAAACCACACCTCTGGGGAGCTGAAGCATCCTTGGCCTTACTGAGCAGAATAGAGCAAACACCAATTTAAATCATGGCCAAATGTTAACATTTTAATGACTTAGGAACCATGGATGCCATTTTTATCCCGCATCAAGGAAGATAGGGGCATAGCAGAAACGACAAATGGCAACTGGACGACTGTGGAATAGGTCCTTGTTCGCACTGTCCTCATTTATCAAATGAGGATGGGGAACTAGGTAATCTCAAAAGTGCCTTTGAGCCCTAAAATTCTAATAGAGCTAAATCAATGACACTAGAAAACAAATACGATGCAACTGAATTGCACTGCTTGCAAAAGGAACATATGCCGTATTAAAAGGCTCTTACTGGGCGTTTTTGCTGGCTTATCACTGTGTTTATAGAATTCATTCTCACTGCATTCGTGATTAAAGTGGGACAGATGGTGAAGGTTTAAGTAATGTGTTCATTACCAGGCCTCATGCCACTAATGGCTATTTACTGGTGAGCAGAAAATGAATCCTTCTCCGGGGGGCGCCCACTACCAGGGCTGTATTTATCAACCTTTGTTGTGCATGTTCATTCTTAATTTTCATCTCCTTGTTCAACTCTTGTCTTTTTCCTACTAATACAAGTCTCAGTCCCCCCTTCCCTGTTTCTGACACCCCTCTACACCTGAGAAACCCTTCATCACAGCTTGTATTCCCGAACTCTCCTTAAACCAAAAGCCTGTTGCCCAGCTTTGCTTCTTAAAGTTTCAGTTACTTGGATTTTTGTTCTACAAGCATAAAGCACCTTTAAACGAATTATTTTTAAAACAAAACAAAGACTCCTGCGCACTGTCCTCCCATTCCCACCCCATCTACTCTGCCCCCCAGACATCCCGACAGGCTCCACTCTAAGAAGTCACTGAACTGGAATTCTGGAAGGTGACTCCAAGGTCCTGCTGAACCTTGCTCCGCCACAGAGCTCCTGTAGACAGCCCACCATGACGGTTCACCATCAAGACAAATGCTAGCTCATCATTTCTCAAAGAAATCTGCCAGTGTCTGAGCCACTGCATCTTTTCCTGGGATCCATCCGCTATCTTCAGTAGCTGGGTAGCAGCCCTAAGGAGCCCTAGGCGATCCCAGAATTCTGACATCAGCTCACATTAAGTACAGATGTCCTGGGGTTTCTAGGAAATAAAGTGTATTCCACTGTTCTTTGGTTAATACTCAGAGACTGCCAGCTGGCTACTAAACCTGACCCAGTGTTGCTGGATCCGAGGTGATTGCAAGTCTAAATTTAAATGTTAAACTGGTTAATCAAGTTGTTTGGTTAAACAACCCTATTTGCATTCCAGAATTGTCTTTCTTTCCTAAGGCAAGCATCCTTCGTGCATCTTAGTGTGTTCAACTGTTTATTACATGATAAATATTTTAACGCTACAAAATATTCATCCAAATATGACAACTTCTTCAAAACATCATAATTATAAACTGTCACACTAGAGGACATTCTAGCCCAGTGATTTTGGCTAAAGTATATCACTCAGTGACCCACTGTGCAACACAGATGTATATTATTATTATTAGATTTAGTTAAGTTTGGGCTTATTTAATTTTCATGATTTACTCATAGGACCTTCATTAGGGTTACAAATTCAGCCAGATACACAGTATTATAAATTAAATTATTGAGACATATTTAAAAATTAATCAAGAAATGTGAATATTGAAATGGGGTGCTTTTGAAGTGACATTTCTAAAATCGCACCAACTCAGGAAGACTCCTAAAATAAAACAAGCCAGAGAAGGACAGTGGCAAATCAAGGGATTAATACAATAAGTATTAAAGATTTATTAGAAAGTATTTACTAGTGCCTATGTTCTTCTCTAGCCTCAAGTCAGATTCAGAGATGCCAATTTTCTATTAGTCCATTTTGCTACTAATTAAAAAAAAGAATATATCTTTGTCTGAATTCTAAATTTTAAGGCATGCATAATTAAATTTATGTGCTCACCTTTTGTATATACTTAGAGTGCCAGCTATTTAAATTTAGGAACACTGCATGTAACTTTTAATATATTTTTCTCCTATTATTATTGAATACTTTCTTGAAATTCTCTTTCGAAAGTTCCATTTTATAAAGGATGTCTTTTCTTAATGTGAACTCTATCTGTCCTACTGAAGCTACGGGTTTTTACAAACCTGAAGTGCGTGTGGGTGGCCAAAGATGGGCTCTTGGTTGCCTCTAATACAGAAAAATGCTATCACTGCAGGGATGCATCCACCATATCATTAACTAGTAACAGACTTGGTGATCTTTTCCATTGTTTCCATTCGCAGCCTCTCCTGGCTCCCCTTTTGAAATCATACATTTGCTAAAAGGGCAAAGGGACGGAGACTGATGATATCAGTATTTCTAGAGGTCAATTCCTAAGAGTACAGATCATATTAAATATGTAAAGAAAGAAATTAACATCATTGAGTACTTCCTAAAGTTTTAAGAGTTGAAAAAATACTTCTACTTAATGTTACCTTATTTACTTCAGTGCTGTTGTTTTGCTTTTTTTTTTTTAATTTCAGGAAGAAATCCCTTTTATTCTCCAGGCCTTACCTTTTCCATCCTCTCTACAAGGTTCTCCAGTGCTGTGATTCGATTATGCTTTTCTTCAAGTTTTTCTGCAACTTGATTCAGATTTTCAAGCTGTTGTTTCAATTCCTGTTCTTTTTCAAGTTTGTTAACCTTTGGTCAGAAAAGCAGTTGTCAGTCCATGAATTTATTAAAACTATACATATACTTTCATTTTTTATAATTTTCTGAGTAACCAAAAAAATTAATAATTCACACTTGCATAGAATTCCTTTTTGAATTCAGCATTTCCTTCCAAATGAATCTGATGGACTGCACATACCACCAAATCAATGGAGAATTAACAATATACATATTTTAGTCCTAGAACACTTACATGTGTTACCATAAAGCACACTGCCTGGCCTAGCATGAGAAAGAGATGCATGGATTGAAGAAATTTAAAATTTTTGACTTTTTCTGAACAAAAGTTATCTAGAACAAAAATAAAAGAGACAAATGTATTTGAAAAAATAAATTTAAATTAAAAAAAAAAGAAAAAAAGTGAATTGATTTATAACTACTCAGAGGAAAATGCATGGCATTACCTTGTTCATGTTCAATAAAATAATAAATAGCAGTAATAGTAATAATAACAATAATTCCCTAAGTTCTTCAAATCAAACAGTCATGCGGAGTTCCCCGTTTATGGCCATGTGAGTAGTATTTAAAATACATTAAACAGAAGTAACTGAAGCTAAATTTTAAAAGATATCAGAAATGACATTTATAAGAAATATAATTCCAAAGGGAAAGGAATTATATTTTGATGGCAAATTTTAGCCAGAAATAAAATCATACTTTTTTATTATAATAAAGAACTTTGCATATTAAAAAAAAGAAAAAAAAAGAAAAACACGTTCTATCTTTAATCCAAAGTGCCATAAAAGTAGAGGAACTCTCTCCGCTCTGTCTGGGCAGGTAGCAGTGGTGCGGGAGACCAGAGGACAGCCATCTTCACCGGCTGCCCGTGGGCCGCCCTTGGGTGTGTTCCTACTGACTCCTGACGTGCACTCACACCTGCATGTGTATTTACTAGAATGTGAAATCGTACAGTTTAAAACCAAAGTATCTGGCTTCCCTGGAAAGTAGCAGGTGGGCGTTCCTGCCAGGCAACCCCAGGCGGGGGCCGAGTCCCCTGGGCAGGGGCAGGAGCAGGGCAGGGGCAGGCGCACTCGCGTCCCCCAGGCTCACCACTCACACAGCCCTAGGCTCCACACCAGCCTGCTCCCTTTCCCTGGGCACCTTATTGCACCCTGAACGCCCAGGAGTTTGCGATAGGCCCTTCCAAAGATGGAGCAGGAAGGCATGTTGCCTATGGAAGGATTTCCACTGTGCGCCCCACTGCGTTTTCCCAGGGCCTGAGCTGGTGGAGGTCCAGGCGCTGCACCCCAGCATGAATGAGCTTCCCAATTTGGCGCGCACACACACACACACACACACACACACACTCTTTTTTTTTTTACTTTTCCAGTCCTAGAATACATTCTTCAGATAAACATTTATTGGCCCTAGAATATATACTTCAAATGTAAACAGCAACAAAATAGATGCATGTGTCGACAATACATATATGCACACATTTATACCTGCATATACATATTTATGTTTTTATATTTTAATTTACCTATTAAAATACTAAATATATAATTTTAATACATGTTAAAATACATATGTACACATACATAAGTTGTTTGTTTAACCTGAGAACTATATTTCGGGGTCAAAACCATTTTGACACCATCTATCTACCCAATTCTTTCATTTTAGACGCAAGGAAATCCGAGTCCAGGGAGGTGGAACAACTCAACCTCGGTCAGCTAGTTAGTCAAAGGCAGAACCAGGAGAGAAGTCGCAGACCAGAGACCCCTGGGACAGCCCTAATTTCTAGGCAGGGCGGCATGGCCTGCCTGCCACCTGAGCTAGGCAGGGCTCCAGACAAGGGTGCTAACACGGCAGCCTGGCCGCATCTAGGCGCTGGCTAAGCAGGGGCTGGGAGAGATGGGCCCTGAGCAGCTTCCTGCCCCTCCCAGGGCTCGCTGAGTCACGTGGCCATCACTTGTTTCACATCTAACTCTTCAGAAAGAGGGACATGAGCGGCTGGGGTTTAGCTTTCCAACAGACAAGTTGCTAGCTCAGTACCTGGAGTAAGTGTTTACTGTCTTCATGCTTCTTTTTAACTTCTTCAGACTGTGTTTCGTAGATTTCAAATAATCTCTGGGCCACGTTTCTCAGAACTGCTGCCCCCGCTTCTCTGGAGGCTTCCAGCTGGGAAGAAAAGAAAAAAGGTCACTGTGCATGTTTTGACATTTAGAGTGAAAAGGGCTGAAGGCAGAAGAGCGAGCAATCAAAAACACAGAGGCTGTAACTGTCTCGTTCGCACCCCTGTGGACGTGCACAATGGCTAGGAGAAAAGACACTGTTACCTTGTAGGAGGAAAGTGTAAACTGAGAAGCCCCTGTTTAGTGTGGCTGTCAGGCCAGGCCACACCAGAGCTCCCGCACACCAGGGCCCTGCGTGCATAGACCACACCCTTTGAAGAGCTCCATGGTGCGTGTTAGGCAGCATAGAGAAACCAAGACAGAAAGGGCGAGGGAGACGGAAAAACTCCCCCATTAATCCAGCTGTCCTGAGCCTGGTCAGAGAAGGCAGCCAGGTGTTCCGAAAATCACAAGAAAAACCATGATAGCACAGGAGGTGGGGAACCCTTGAAATTCTGTGTGCATCATTCCCACTACCTGGGAAGGAAAGTCTCTGAAACTGCATGTTAATCCCAAGGTCTGGAGAAGGGCGGGGGAACCTAGAAGCTGGCTACAAGCGTAAAACCCCTAAAATCCCAATAATCAGGGCGCCCTGACTAACGGGGTACCTGCCTGCAGCTTCATGTTCAAGTGTATTTGATAAACTTACTATTGTCTCTCACCTGAATTCATCTCTTGAGAGCAAGACAAGAGCTGAGGAGAAGGAGCCTCCTAACTTGGGGCTCCCAGCTAACAGTGCCCATCAGCTTAAACACTTAAATTTGTAAACATTTTATCATCGATGTCCATGACAGTACTATAAGATGCATCTTCCTGAAGCAGCAGTGCTTGAAATAGACGAGATTGGAGTAATAAGGGCAATAAAGCTAAAGTGTCCTGAATCTTACAAGAATTTAACCTAAAGAAATAATCAAGGATGGCTGCAAAAATTTACCTACCAAGACTGTCATGCAGGACTATATGTGTATGTATGTGTGTGTGTGTGTGTATAAAATATATTGCGTATATATAATGTAATTATACTATATAATGTAATATAGTATATTATATATAATATAATGTGTATATATAATATATATGGTATATGGTATACAATAAAAAGGAAAACATAAAGCATCCAACAATATATTAATAACACAAAGTAAGACATTTGACTGTGAATACTCCAATTAATATTTATTAAATATATGAAGACTTTAAAAAATTTACTGTAGTAACAAAACTTCACATGAGACCACCCTCTTAACAAATTTTTAAGAGTCTGATACAGTATTAACTAGAGGCACTATGTTGTACGGCATATCTCTGGAAATTATTCACCTTGCACAACTTAAACTTTATCATTGTTGAGCTTTTGTGAGATCTTTTTAATAATCAAAGTCGGCTCCCAAATAACACAGTGAGAGTTAATTTAGGAAATGTCAAACTCTTCTCTACACACGTGGGCATATGTGTGGATCTATGGATGTGTCGGGGTCTGCTTTCCTGGGCCCACAAATCTCTTCTATTGGTTCAAAGGCTCGAAACAGAAAATTAGAGATTGCTCTGCATGGTCATACCTTGATTTTCAATACTTCATTCTCCTTGTTCATTTCTAAGAGCTGTAGGTCTCTGCCTTTCATTCTTCCCATGAGCAGATTCAGGCTGCAACACGAGGGGTCCACTTCAGAGACAGAGCCGTTTTGGATGTTCCCACAGCACTGAAATGCACAAACGTGGAAATCAGAGGCCCGGCCTTTCCTGTCCTCTACCAGCATGGACAGCAACCATGGTCAGCCCCTACTACTTATATCACAGGAGGTTCTGGTCCGCACAAATAGATCTTCTGAATCTCAAATGTCAATAGGAATTTCTAGATGAAGAAGCTGGCCTCTATATTTGCTTAAATTTGAATAGATTCTTATATTTAGACTATGCAGAGGTACAATTTTTATGCCTTTTATATTCCATAGTTTTAAGTGTACTGTATACCCTTAAGTCCTGTCTAGGAAATAAATAATATCTTCAAGGCCAGTTTTTGTTGTTTTTTTTTTAAATAGTCTTAAATTATACACAGAAATGCATTTTGGTTACATTGCATTCCTAACTAATATAATCAGACACAACAATAGTTACAATATTCAATGTTTAATGATCCTTCATTGTAAAATCACCCTTTCAAATTCCCAGAGATGTCAGCATGGAAGGTTCCTGCCAGTGTAACTCTACATAAACTCGAGCTCACTGAAAATACTATTGTAGCACAAAATAAATCTCACTTGAAATCAAGGACACGTGGAAGTAGAAAGGAAACCTGAAACCATCTAACTCAAGCACATCCATTTTCCAGATGTGAAAACCCAGGGGCAGAGCCCACGTTCACATAACGAGTAAGTGGGAGAGCTCAGGATGCAGCCTCCTGACCATCCAGCCTATGCTCCTTCCACTCTTCTGAATTATTTCAGAACAGATGAAGGGATTGTTAAGCAATTATATACATATATTTATATATAATTACATTTTATATTATATAAGTTTATATGTAAATTATTCTTATATATAATTATTTATATATAAATATAACAATACTTATAAATAATATATAAGAAAATATATTTATATATGCTTATATATTATATATAAATTTATATTTTATTCTTATAAGTATAAGTGTATATTATATATACTTATATAAGTCCTATAATGATAATAACTTTTATTTATTAAGCATCTATTATGTGTCAGATAATCTTTTAGATGTTCTATTACACTCCTTTGTCTAAACTCAGAACCTTGGAAGGTATTATGTTCATTATACAGATGAGGAAATTGAAGATTAGAGAGTTTAAATAACAAGCCCAAGGTCATACTCAAAATAATTGCCAGGACCAGGATTTGAATCCCAGCTTGTTTAACTATAAAGTCTATACCTTTTTTAGTACAACAGACAGACAATACTTATAGAAATAAAGGATAAAAAGTATTTAGTGCATATAAATAATACAGTTACAGTAACTTTGTCATGGTTTTGTTTTTCTACTTTAGACCCTTGTGCATATTCTCACTCTCCATATACAGAGTATCCATTATTTTCTTTTTTAAATTTATTAAAGAATATTTGATGGAAGGCAGAAGGTACATTACTCGCAGTGATAGATTGACTACAAGGTCTCAGATCAGTGCCTCTCAAACTTGAACTTGAGCTTGGTGGTAGGTCTGGTTGAAACGCGGCTTCCGATTCAGGCAGTCCAGGGTGGAGCTCCAGATGTTGTCTTTCTAACAAGCTCCCTAATGAGGTGGATGCTGCTGGGACAACAGGCCACACTTTGAGCAGTTTACATGGACTGCTGCTTGGCCTCTTTGACTCCATCTTGTTCAGCTTGCTTGGTTCTCCTGGCCTTCAGCTTCTTCATATTGACATGCTAATCACGAGAGGACTTCTGCTTGTGGCTTGAGTTTTACAAAAACAGCCCTTTACCAGAATGCAAGGGGTTATGTCCCTTATTTCCTGGAAAGATAAGGGAAGTATGTGCAAAAATAATGGTTGTTTATCAAATATTTGCAGGAACCTTGTGACCTGACTCACATCAACTAGAATCAACAGAGTAAGAACAAAGAAGTTTCACAATATTCCTTGGGCCCCTGCTGGTGCCCTGATGTCTGTGGTCCGCAGTCAATCACCCTTTGCCATTCCGATTTCCCTGTAAAAGAAGCCTGAACTTGAAACTTTTGAAAGATGGATTTGAGGTACCCTTAGGTTTTCTGTCTTCTTGTCTTCTCAGTTTGTGCCTTCTTGGTCAATAGAGTTCTCCTTACTCCCAATTCCAAGGGTTTGAGTTTTGGCACTTCAAGGCTTTGGGCATACAGACTTTTTGTTCTGTAACAGCAGAGCCTTAGGTCATTATAGTTAAATCTCTGCTGCAACATTACCCAGATGCTAAAGGGGAAGGGGCTGATATTTTGATGCTTGGTTTGTCTGCCAACCTTCTGTGGTTTGAGATGGCCAAAGGGAGACACTGGCTCCACACTCACATGCGTGGTGATCTCCTTCAGTTTCAGGAGCTCAAGTACCATCCTTACTCCCAAAATCTCTACCCTGTGGCCTGGACCTTCTAGCCCAGACCTCTATGCTCAACTCCAGAATCAGATATCCAGCCCACCCACTAGACACCTCCACTTGAAGGACTAATAACTCAACATAACCAAAACTGAATTTTTGATCTTTCCCATCATTCACAAATATTAACCTTTTTTTTTTTTTTTTAAGTTTCAGAGCACTTAATTTGAGGAAAATAACTGAAGCTAGCTATGTTAGTTTAGGGGGCTGAAAATGATATAGGAGACAATGTTTATGCATCATACCTTATCTTTGGTGTTCTCTGCAACCATACTACATAGTGGATAACACCGATATTGACAATGTGTTCTTGGCTCAGATGAGGTTTAACTTGGCACAATCTGGGCAAGGCTAAGCGCAGATTGCTCAACTTTAAGAATATAAGGCTGGTCATGGAGGTGGGAGTGGGGAGATAGTTCCTTTAAACTTAGTTGCCTGATCACTCAGCCTAATGGCTTTAACTGTGAGCCCACTGTTGTGGCTCAGGTAACCCTAAAAGCTTGTACCTTTGTCTGTCATTGGGAAATGTTGCTGCCATGTATCTTGGCTGGGCTGACATCTTCCCATATACTTTAGCTAAGTAAGCCCAGTTTAAAATATTCAGGTCAGGTCTGGTCAATCCAACTGGATTCTACTAATGATATCTGGGGTTAAATATTTCATGCATATGTCCATTAACATCTTTAGACACTAATAAAATATTTACCACTCATCATTCAAAGCTTCAAAGAGAATAACTTCTATATGGCTTTATGTTTGTTTACAGAGGAATAAAAGTGGTACCTTTTGATAAATTCATTACCTTTGCACCTAGTTTGTGCTTTGTACTGTTGGGTCCTGCCTCATCTTTAAACATTTGATTTCGGATCTTTTCCAGAGTACTTCGAATCTAGAAGAAAAAAATATTTTTTTCTAAAGGCATTTAATGTCAAATGGCTTTTATTCTCTATCCCAGCAGCAGTGTACCTGATTATCCAAAAGTAATACATATATACTGATCTCAGATTTAAATAACTATCATCAATCTAACTTGCATTAAGGCTAAACTGTTTAGAGTGCAGCAAATGAGCAATTGGTCTTCCTAACTCTCAGTCAAACAAAATATAATCTGAATGAATATTATATGACAAAATAATTATTACTTAGTAATTAGTATTTAATTCTATTTAGTTCTGTTTTTTTGTATAGTAATTTAGTACTAATTTACTATTTAGTAATTACTATAAAACAGTTACTATTTAGTAATCACCAGAAAATAATTACTACCTAGTAAAATAACTATTATCTAGTAATTACTACTAAATAATTGCTATTTAGTAATTATTAGGGAATAATTACTAAGTGGAGAGCATACAAATTTATGCATGAAATATAAACCCTATGTCTTGGTGACCTATGGAATTGCAAGACACTCAAAGATGAATTAATAGATCTGAAAGTTACAAATTATCTATATCCAAATTTTTCCATCTGTTCTAAGAAACACTTCATAAGAATATATGTGTTGTTACCCATTATCACCGGATTCTTATAAGATTTCACATTTTTAATGCAGGAACATGCCAACATGTAGTCATTGGCAGATAGGAACGCTGAACTATGAGGAGGAACAAGATACGGGGAGACAGAAACTCAGCAGGAAATGTAAACTTCTAGGGAACATGGTACCAACACTCATGCAACAACTGAAAAACAACATAAAATATAGCAAGTGTAGTGGGGAATAGTGTGGGACAAATTAAGTGCTGTTAGGTGTTCCAAACCCTCCTGGCTCATTCTTCAATTTTACTCCACGTGTTAAGGTAGAGAGACTTCCAAACGTGTTTAAACTTTAGTTGTCAAGATTGTCCTTTGCCAAACTAGGTTTGTCCTTCCTCACATGTTCTCTGGAGGGAGAAAAAAGCCCACTGATCTGCACTAGACTTTATTTTAAACAATCATATCATGCTAACATGATGTCTTGTACCCACATACCATTTTCACATATTCAGTTTCTTCAATTATGTGAGCTGACGTGGGCCCATACGAGGAAGAATCATCTTCTGTCTTGCACCTTGAGGGGGTCTCTGGGGTCACTGTTACTGTTGTCATTGTGATTTCTGGCTTTAGGAAAACATAAGTTAATTAGACAAACTAACTTCTTTGACAATATGATTATGTGGTTTGTAAACTGCAATCAAATACTGTATAGTAGAAAATATTACAGATTACTGGTATCTGTATATATTGATAAATCCAGGCAAAAATTTAATATGAAAATAATACCAGCTGAAAGAGTCATTGATTAGAAACTTATAGATTATCTGGGAAGGAAATACGTGAAAATGTTCTTTTTATTCCACATTATATTAGTAAAACTCTGCATAGGGACCTTGCCTTCTTCATCTTTATATTCCAGCACACAATAAGTGCTTAATAAATGTCTGTGGAACTAAAATAAAATAATTATAACAAAATAATATATATATAATTTCTACGTGTGTGTATATATATATATACATGTGTATATCACTTTATATGCTATATTTTATTTAACTCTCAATACCCTATAGAGGCCATTTACTGAAAATTATTTGTAATAGTAAAAGATTAAGAAAACTTCAAATGGCCACAAAAAGAGGACTGGTTGAATAATCTAGCTACTGCTATAAACACTTCTCTAGGGTGTACTATTCAATGAAATAGCATGGTGCAGAAAAGGATATGTAGTATCATAGTTTCTGTAAGAGGGAAGGGATGGATGGAAGAGGACAATCTGTGACTTATAGCTTTGACAATGAACAATGCAATTATTTTATCTAATTATAAAATTAAATAAAATGAAAATGAAAAAATCCTTCAAAACAAGAAATACCTGTTTAGCAGCTTAACAATAAAATAAAACTGGAGAGCATTATGCTAAGTGAAATAAGCCAGGCGGTGAAAGACAAATACCATATGATCTCACCTATAAGTGGAACCTAGTCTACAAAACAAGCAAGCAAGAAAATATAAGCAGAGACATTGAAATAAAGAACAAACCGACAGTAATCAGAGGGGAGTGGGGAGGGGGATAACGGGGGAAAGAAGGGGAAGGGGAGTCAAGGCACATGAATAAAAGACCCATGGACAAAGCTGAAGGGGGGCAGGATTGAGGGTGGGAGATGGGGGTCGAGGGGGGAGAGTGATGGGGAAAATGGGGACAACTGTACGTTAACAACAACAAAAACAAACAAATGAACAAACAAATAATGAAATTCCTGTTTATCAAATTGGTGGCATATATACATGTATTATTTGAAACGACTTTAAAATATACACGAGGGACTATCCCGGGTGTGCAATGTCCTAAGAACAAAAAGAATAGCAGAACAACCTTAAACTCTACTTACTAATAATATTATTAGTGGATACATTGGTATTGCTATTTTAAAACTGTTATATGTGTGTGCATGCATGTGTCTGCACTCACCCACATGAACGCATAATAAAGCTGAGAAGTCATTGCCTTAACATCATTAAGAAGTAAGATTTTTAGAGTAAGAGGAAAAAATACACAAATCAGAAAAAAAAATGTTACATAAAAGCCTTATAATCTGAACTAAAATGATGAGTATAGAATATTGATTTCTTTTCCCTTAAAAATGTATATTCTAGATCTAACCACTGAAAAATAGCAACGAACACTCCTCAGGCCCAGACTGCGGCCTCAGCGTAGCATTTTTACTAAAAAGAAGCCAGGCCTTCTTCAGTGACTCGGGTCTGGAGCAGGGAATAGACAGGGGAACCTGAGAGATCTTGCCATCCAGAAAGCAAAAAAGAGCAATCAAATACTACTTGAATAAAACACCAAAAATACCAGCCTACAAAGGAATGACTGTGAGGAACGGAAACAGAGCAACAATTTTTTAAATTCCTGAAATTACAAAAAGAGAGAAACCACCGCCAGCACCACCATCACCACCAACATCACCATCGCCACCAACCCTCATTGTCCGACTCGGCACACACAGGCCACCGTAATATTAACAGTAGCCCCAAAAAGGGGGGGGGTCACCAAAAAACGTTTATCTTGCCTCTACTGTGTGAACTGTAATTCCTGCTAATGTATACGAGGGGCTGATAGAACGGGAAAACCTACATTTTGCAACCCCCTATGACATAACAGATCTAAGCAACCGTTATCCACCGGCACTAAAAACACCAGGTGAGAGGTTGATGAAGAATGAGTTAACCTGAGGGCCCCCCTAACCAATCTCAACATAAGTAGAAAAGACACAGCCAGACATTTTGTCCTCTCGATGTGGCGCATTCACTAATAGAAAGCATCACCTAGGAAATAAGATTTTTTAAAAAAGTGAGCCTGAATCTAATCAAGCCTCTGTATCCAACAGCGGTAAATATCTGAACAAGAGGAAAATGTTTAATGACTCTGCAAGGGTAAAGGTTGCAGTCAGCCAAATGCAGATTATACAAAATATTATGGGACAAATAACTAGTTCCTTCCACAAATTAATTATATGAAGAAAGATGAAGCAAAGAGAAATTGCTATACATCAAGAGTCCTAAGAGACACATGACCAAATGTAATACATAAATCTTCTTTGGCTCCTTATTCAAATAAACCAACTATATAAAGACATTTTTGAGAAACTTGAGGAAATTTTTAACATTGGCTGGATAATAGAAGATATTAAAGAGTCACTGTAATTTTACTAGGCGCGATAATGAATTTAGGACATTCTTTAAATAAAAATCATTTCTGTTGGCCATACATTCTGAAGTATTTGTAGGTGAAATAATATTACATTTGAACTTGCTTTAAAATACTCTAATAAGGAAGAAAAATGGGTGGAGTAAGGATAAAAGAAGTTTGGGCAAAATGCAAGGAATTGTCAAAGCTGGGCAGCTGGGGTCTGCAATACTTCTCTACCTATTTGGTTTCTGTGAGGAATTTCCTAAATAAATAGTAAAGAACTAAAAAACAAAATAACATAAAAAGTCCTGTGAAGTAGGGTTATTAATCCCATTTTTCTTATAGGAAGCCAAGATTCCTATAGGAGATGGTAACTTACTGAAAAATCGCAGTAAAACGAAGATTGCTGAAATTCAAACCTCTATCTTTTAGACACCAAGTTCAAGGGTGTTTTCATCACAATAACGCTGGCTTCCCTAGTGAGAAAAAACAACAAACAAAAATATTGAAAACTGAGCAATAGCCTATGTTGTTAAAACACACAAAGAATTTCCATATTTACTAGCATTTTACAACTAGGTAGTTTCTGGGGATAACTCGGAGTTTTGCATTTATCCTTTAATCTTCAATAAAATTGACAGGCTACGCCAAGAATTTCCCATTTCATTCTAAATCCTCTTCTTAGACAGCCACGATGGCTTCTATTTGGGCTGAAGTTGATTTGGCAGCTGCAACTCAGCTGGGCAGAATGCGAGTAGAAGTACTTCTGTTACCAGGTCCTCTTAAGACTCTCCTGAGCTGAAGTTCTTGGTCCAAAACAACATTTAAATGCTCAAAGTACAAAATAAGCTAACAAACAAACAAAATAGAAACAGACCTTTAGGTACAGAGGACAGACTGGCAGCTGTCAGAGAGGAGGGGGCCTTTTGGGTTGGGTGAAAAAAATGAAGGGCCTAAACAAAACAAACAAACAAATCAAACAAACAAACGCAAAAACCTCATAGACACAGACAACAGTATGGCGATTACTAGCGGGAAGGGGGGATGAGGGAGGTAGAAGAGGGTAAGGAGGGAATGCGTGGTAACAGAAGGACACTTGACTTGAGGTGGTGAACACGCAATATAAAATACAGATGATTTATTATAGAATTGTACACCTGAAACTGATATAATTTTATGAACCAATGTGTCCCCAATAAGGTCAATAAAAATTTCCAAAAACAAAACAGAAATATCCATGGAGACAATCAGCAAGGTGTTTGGGAACCCGCGGTGGAGTGGTCAGCACACCTGGGCCCATGAGCCTGAGCTGCTTCCTGTGTTTTTTCAACAGCCTATGAACTAAGAACGGTTCTTAAATTTCAACCATTCAAAAAAAAAAATCAAAAGAAAAATGACATTTCATGATACATGAAGATTATGTGAAGTTCCAATTCAGTGCCCATAAATAAAGTTTTACTCTAACCATGGCCATTCATTTAAATGGTATCTATGCTGCTCTTGCGTGACCAACAGCAGAGTCGAGTAGCTGTGTCTGAGAAAATCTGTGACAAGTGATGTTTTCATATATTTACTGTCACCTGGTCCTTCACAGGAAACTCTAGGGTGCAGCAGGGGAGGGGGGCCAAACCAATGGGGAAACAGAGGCAAGCAAAACATCAGTTTGGTGACTTGCTCTTTGTTCTCCAGTTCAATCCCCCTTGATCTATAGACCCATTTGATGGATTTGCCTCCTTTGTTTCTTTTTACTATGTTATACATGGTGTACATAACAAATGATAAGAAGTATTTCACCGTAGCAAGTCATCGTTCTTAGGAACAGATCCCACTGATTTCTCTCAGCCTTTCGTAAGTTAAATATCACAATAGGCCTCCTGTTAGATATCCAAAAACATATTTTCTTTTGTGTCCTTTATTCTTAGTATCCAGGAATGCAGCTCCTAATTCACTGCTATTTCCACTCACTGTTGGGCCATTTGGAACAAGTTCCATACAATCCTAGCCTCAACTAATGTATCTGTAAAACAGGGGTGAGAACTCCTAGAGTTGTACACATGAGGGTTTTTTAATCCCTGTTTGCAGAAGGCACTCAGTGGACAGTAACTGTCGACATTGCTGCTCCTATTATTTTCGATTATTGATGACCACAAAAGATAAGCAGCCCACAACAGAGGGGGCAGCTCATGCCTGGCTGGTTCCGAAGTTTACCATCCACTCTCTTCTCATAAAATCAAATTCCACTTCTCTCTCTGGTTCACAACACTTGTGCAACCACAGTCCTTGATTTTTACAAAGAAACCCAAGGGGAACTTAAGCCCACAAAGTCCAAATTGCCATATGGCATTACCATCCTGGGGAAAATCCATCTTAGCATTTTATTTCTGCCAGAAGTAGATTAGGCAGATAAAACTTTCAAAATAAAACTCAATCAGTTAATTAAAGTGAGAAACACATTTTATTTGTTTTCTGCTAGAGTGGATTGACGACAGCTTACAAGTGGCCTCACTCCAAGAGGTGTTATTTCCTAGATCAAGGCTTTTCAAACAGGGCTCCTGGGGGTGGGGAGTGGGGGGTGGAGGGGCTGAGCTGACGGGGCTTTGCCGGCTCCACTTGAACCAAAGCAGCTCGGCTTTGTTCAGCCACACACTGAATTTTTCCAGGAGGCTCTCTGTGAAGAAAGATCTTTCTACAAATAACAGGTTTAGAGCTGGACTATCTAGTTTCATGGCCTGGCTCTGCCGCTCAGTAGATGGGTGACCTTCACCAAGTTCCTTAACCTCTCAGTGCCTCTGTTTCCTGATAAGTAAAATTCAAATAATATTAATAATGTTAATAATGAATAATGTAAATGATAAACTGCATGGAATTGTTTGAGTTAATTTGTCAAGAGCTTATAGCAGCATCTAGTACATAATAAACGACTTGTATGTGCTTCTCAATTGAGTAAATAAAATATGAAACCAGAGAAGAACCAGGTAGTATTTTAAACAGTGTGCAGATCAAGCTGGGATATAAAAGAAAATCTGTCTAGGGGAATTAAAAGATTAGCAAATCCATGGTATTGGTTCTTTCTTGAGAAAGCATCAATAATCTATCAACATCCCCAACTGATTATGCTAACATCTAATAGTTTACAATTTACAAAGACGTTCATATACATTATTGTGAATTGTGATGAAGCAACACATCACTGGCCACCCAGAACAATATCTGTTTAATGATAGAAGAATGGCTTACCCATTATACAATAAACACATATAAAGCACTGTGATGGGTTGAATTGTGTCCCCTCTCCCACTCGCATGTTGATGTCCTAACCCTCAGTACCTCAGGATGTGACCCTATTTGAAAACAGGGTCCCTACAGAGGTAATTAGTTAAGATGGTGTCATCCTGGGGTAGGGTGGACCCCTCACCATATATGACAGTCAACATATATGAAGACTGGTGTCTTCATAGCAAGGGGAAGTGTGGTCACAGACATGACCTTGGGGAGGACACCTGGTGCAGCAGAAGGCAACAATCAAGGTGAGGCTTCTCCAAGCCCCAAAACGCCAAAGACTGCCAGAGACCCATCGGAAGCTGGCCCGTGAGAATCCCAGAACAGATTCCCCCTCAAAGCCCTTAGACTGGCCCTGCCAACACTTGTCTTGGACTCCAGCCTCCCGAACTGTGAGACAAGAAATGACCGTTAAGGCCACTCTGTTTGTGGTCTTTGTCATAGCAGCCCTAGGACACTAATTGTGTTAAATGTTTACTGAATACAGCTGTGCTCAGAGCTGTGGCCACAGAGGTGAGCCGGGGACCCTGCCTTCAGGGAACTTTGAGAACAGAGTGGGAGACAGACATGAAACAAAACAAAAATACAGTACACAGGCAGCCTAATGAAAGGTGATAAGAAGTGTCATGAGGAAAAGCATAGCAGGGAACAGAATAAAAGGAGGTGCTATGTGGTAAGGAGAGGTCAATCTGAAGAGGTAGCATTTAAACAAAAGACTTGAATAAAAAAAGGCGAAGCTGTGCGGCCATGTGGGAGGTGAGGATTCCGGGCAAAGCTGGGGGAGGGGAGCAAGAACAGAGGCTGGAATGCGCTTAGTGTTCTAAGAACAAGGAACACAGTGTAGCCTACCATTTTTTTTCTTTTTTCTTTTAATGTAGCAGGGATTTTTTTTTTTTTTTTTGAATAGCCTGAAACTTAAGACTTCCAATTTGTCAAAGGAGCAGTCTCCACAGCTACTTACAACAGGTCTCACCCTGGGTGGGAAAGAGGCCTCAGGGTTGAAGGGAAGGCCGGGCACAGCAAGGTCAAGGCACCTGCAACTGACTCTAGGTCAGCCCAGGGCAGAGGCCATGAAGTCCCGCTGACTGCACAGTAGCCTTCTCAACTCATTGCCATGGGTGCTGACCAAATCGCACCATGGTGGACGCTCGGCATGTTTCGACTGTTCAGCACCTGAATCTCCTTCCCAGGTGTACGGAATCACCATCTGTAGGAGGCTTTTCAGGAAAGGCGCCTTACCTGTTCTTCATCCCTCCCTGCAAGCACAAGTACCACACCTAGACTCAGGCAACTGAGTACTCTCACTTGGAAATGCCAGTAAGGGAGCAGCTGTAGGGCTTGAGGAAGCTGGAGGCCACAAAAACCCCATGGTTATTTTAGGAAGGGAAGGAGGCTGTCCCAGGGTGGTGCTTGTTGTCCAGTGGCAGAACACTTGCTCTTGCTACAGGCTCATCTTTGTTGAGTGACCAGCGCACTGGACTCTCCCAGTTCCAAACCGAGTTTTCCTGTCAACCCTAGATGCTGCTCCATATCATTCCAGTAAATTCCTTTTCTGCCTAAGTTAGCCAGAGTCAATCACTCAGCATTGCAACCAAGACCACTGATTGGTTTGGACAGCATTTCTGAGTTTTCAGTTTCTCAGTTCTGAGCTAACAATATTGAATACTGCTTCATCACTCTTAGTCACTATTATAGAGAGCTTAGATATCAGAAACTGAAAATGTTTACCATAAAAGTGCTACAGGGAGCACTTTTATAAAGTTATAAAGGAGGGCAAAGCTAACATGTCTCCAAACCCGTGAAGAGACTGTCTCCTGAACAGGAAAGAGCATACCTGTTCTGCATCCACATTACACAGCACAATGGTGACATCCAGTGTCAGCTAGCTAAATCTCAGGTGACTGCAGTTTACCTGAAAAGTGATGCACAGTAGACGTGCATGTTAAAATGGAGCCCAAGTAATAACAGTTTTCAAGAAATAATCTAAAATCTTTGAGGTGGATTCATTTCATACATTTGCAAATGCTACTCATTTGTATACACACATATTTATATCATAGCCAGTGCTATAGAAAGTTCTTAGATATGAAATAAAAGTGACTTAGTTTGGGGGAAAAAAGTATTGAAATATTGGCACAAACACAGTATACAAATATAGACTTCTGACAAAGCACTGCGCCATTTACCAAGAAATCATTTTCCATATACTTTCAAAGTTAATCATTACAATACACTGTCTATAGTTATTATCCATATGTCTCTCTCTCCATCCCTGTGCATGTGTGTATAATACAACCAAGTCACAGACCAGAGATAGAGGTTAAATATATTGACCTCATCACCTGAAACCAGATGGACTGATCTCAAATCCAGGTATATTTGTAACAAAATGATCTATCTTCATAGTTCATTGGTATAATTTGAAATTTGGAAAAATAGCTGAAGGTGTCACCCAGTGCCCCTAAAGCAACTAAAATGCAAAGAGTGGGGGCAAATCACATGGACTCCTTCCCATTTGGGAAGGTGGGGACAAGGGCCGGGTCGGTTGTGTGCCTAGCACACGTAGGCCAGGGTATGTGGCCTTTGATAATTCTCACAAACACCCTGAGAGGTCAGTGTTATTAGTCCCATTTTACAGATGAGGAAATGAGGCTCAGCATGACTACACAAGGGCAGCGAGGCCGTAGCAGCCACGGATCGCAACCTGTGAGTCCGGCGGTGCTCCCCGCTCACCGCCTCGCCTCCTGCTGCATTCTGAATGGACCTCTAGGCCTAGTTTCTTGGGCCCAAGCTAGCTCAGCGATCAGAGTTTTCCAAAGTGAGTCACTAAGCGACAGTCAAGTACTTCCTGATGTGAGCTCTAGGCTTGGCCTTCAGGCACCCGAGCAGACAGATTCGTGGCTTAAAAACAGGGGCTTTGGACTAGGTTGGTGCTGCCCACACAACTTTGTTCTCCTTCCCCACTAGGCGAGCGGCGTCAGGAAAGTTTTCAAACTCCCTAGGCTTCAGTTTCCGCAACTGAAAAATTCCGATGACATCAGTAACTTCCCATAGAGTTATATGAGGATTAAATGGGGTAACATAAAGAGTGCTCACTGCAGTATCTGACCCATGACACACGTTTAAAGAATATTAAATGCTTAAATTCACAACTTATTGTGGACATGTGCTTATAGAACATCATTTGAAAGTGTCAATGATAACCTGAGTTGTCCCTGCACGATCCCTATCGCCCCCCACCAATCGATCAATTATTCCTCCTGCTTTGACTTTCTCTGTTAACAATCAACTCAAAAGCCACTTACGACTTGTCAGTGAAAAAAATATGAAGAGAAGCAGGTGTCAGTGCCATATATATCAGTCATTTGTAACATTTATAAGGAAGATGCCCTTTTGGAAAATTTCTTTTGTGGCTTTATAAAATATCTTAAAAGTAAAAAGCTCAGGAATTTATACAATAGCTATAGCTTCCTAAACTTATCCTGGGATATTTTAGCTTCACCATAATTTACTTAGGTTTAAAAATTATACAGCAGGGGCGGTGGTGGGGGGTGAACAAACAATACCAAGTGTGGCTGAGGGTGTGGAGCCGAAACTCCTGTCTGTTGCTGGCGGGACTGAAAAAGGTGCCACCATGTTGGGCACCACTTGGGTGGTTTCCTATAAAGTTAAGCACACACTGTACAATCCAGCAATCCCACTCCAAGGTGTCTACTCAAGTGAAATGGAAGTTTGTTCCATAAAATACAAATGTTTATGACTGCCAAACACTAGAAAAAATTCAAATATCTGTCAACAGGGGAATCCTACTCATCAGTACAAAAGAATGAACTACTGATACACACAAGAATATGGATGAATCTCAAATGCACCATGCTGACTGACGGTAGTCAAATCCAAAAGGCTAATGTATAGTTGCACTTATAGAACATTCTAGAGAATTCTGCGGGGACAGAAAACAGATCAGTGTTTACCTGGGGATTGGAAGTTGGGGAGGAGCTGACTACAAAGGAGACCCAGGGGAATTTTTTGGGGGGGATGGGTGATATAACTGTTCTATATCTTGATGGTGATGGTGGTTCCATGACTATAACCATTTATCAAAGCCTACAGAACTCTACACTAAAAAGAGTGAATTTATATACCTTTGTTTTAAAAATAATAATCCAAGAGCACTGTAGAAAAAGCAAAATACAACTGAGATTACAGAATCAAAGAACCTTCACTGACTTTATCAGAACCAACCTTATCAGTCACAATTTGCTGGATTTGTTTTTCTCTCTTCAAATTATTGACCCCCAAAAAAACAAGTAAATATGAGTAAATATGGAAAAAAAATAGTGTTGGAATTAGGATTGTTAAAACACAGGTAACTGAGCTGCTGATAGGTAGATAGAATTATTGCTGCTACTAGAATAGTCAATGAAGACTCATATACAATAGGGAGATAAAAACAAAGAAGATCTAAACATCTTAAGAAAGTTAATTATGATTATTACTTACTAAGGTGGGAAAGTAGGAGGAAATATCTAAAAAGCACATAAGAATATTTGCAAAAAGATTTAAATATAATTCATGAACCTAGAACTTATCAACACATTCCTTTCCTTATCATGATGTAGATGTATGTAGCATGTTGTCATTCTTCACATTTGCCTTGTTCATGTAGACTATTGATCAGGTCAATGGCTACGGAGTCTGCTCAGGGTGGCCACCGTCTAGAGCAGCCTGGACCCTGGACCCTGGACCCTGGACCCTGTGCTTGGCGGCCTCCACCCACCCTCTTACTCCAGGAAGATGATACACTTATCCAAGGCCATCATCTTACCAAAATCCAGGTAATACTAGAAAAATAACAAGGGTGAGAAGTAGCTTTGGTTCTGAGTAAAACCAAATTCCTTATATTGGATGGATCATGTCAATGAATTTTATGATGAGCGAACTCATCAAAATAATGAGAAGATGCTTACAGCTCAATGCCGATAGAGCCTTCTCCCAGGGGAGTGTGTCCACGCCCACTTGCAAGTCTATGACAGTGAAAAGCACGCAGATGGGTTCCTGTAATTGGTGTGTGCATCTTAGAAGACAGTTGGAATGAAACTGTCAGTGCATGAGTACAAAAAAGCATCTGTCCTAAAAACGTTCAAACCTTTACCAAGTTAGAAAAAAGAAGTTACCAGCAGAAACTGATAAATTCATCCAAATGCAGATAATTAAAAGAGTAGTGTTCCCACCCAGTAGTTCCAGCAAGTTTTTTTTGATATTTCAAACAGAAAAACTGAGTTCCATAGAAGCACAGAAAGTGTTGGAAAACTGTGTTATTTAACCTAGACTTTCTTGTTTTCAAGTTTTAGAAGTTTAAAGATTAAAATCCTTTGCACTCTAAGTTGTTGATTAAGTAGACCTTCAAATTAGGTTAAGGCACCCTCTCCCCATAGGAACTTGCAATTTCAGCCATAACTTACAAGCATTCAGACATATTCTCTTTTCTTTAGTTTCACTGCATCTGCCAACTTTTTATAGAAGGGTTTGTACTCAGCTCGAGAAATCTCCTTAAGAAAATCTTGAAGCATAAGCTGTCAAGTGTCACCTCCTAAAAATGAATGTGCCACTTAGTTGTTGGCACAAAGCAGGGTGAAGGGGGTTTATGAGAAAACTGCTCTGACTGAACTGCGTTTGAGGTTCCCGCCTGCTGAGAGAGGCACGGCCAGAGCCAACGCTTTCGCAGCGTCAGAGAATTCAGATTTGCTTTGTTCTGCAGACTACACCCAGAAAAACGGCACCGCTTCTGAGGAACCTGGATAATTTATAATGTCGGCCTAGCTCCTACAAAAATCACAGAGAAAAAAGGTGCGGCATTTCTTCGGTTTTGGATTTCCTCTGATCTAAAAGCTCAAACTAGTGCCTGATTCTGTGAATAAATTAATAGTTACCTCAGTTTCAGTCTTTAGCACAGTCACAGAAACAACAGAATAATAAAACTAAAAAGCGTATAAATCCAGATACACTCCCTCCTAATTTTTGGCTACAAGGTACATATTGATTTATACTTTATGTTAACTGTGCCATTAAAATATGTTACTAAGAAGCGCTCATATTTTGAAGAGTAATTCAGTTATCATTGTTAGGTCTAACAATTATCAAAATTCCCTTACTCTAAATGTGTACATTTGGGATGAAAATGTAGCAAAGGAGATCTATCTTCTTGACAAATATTAATGTGAAGAGTGAAACATCTTCGAAGTCCAACCTAGAAGACTAAATGACTGATGCTTCTTTCTATCAGCACAAGGTTTGCTATTTACAATATTCATGGGACTATCACAGAAAGATCACAGTTATGACACATTCAGGAAAGATCAGTATTCCATACCAGGAATATATTTTTCAGGAAAGATCAGTATTCCATACCAGGAATATATTTTTCATAAACATAAATAAGAGGCTGGCTCCCATTGGTTATTTTCTAATTGTGCTACCATGGAAGGCAGACCAATGTATCTGTCTTACCACCTAAAGGTAATCACAGAAATATTCACCAACCAGTGAACAAAATGTGTTTCAACCATCCAGTGGAATGAATATTAGCAATAAAAAGGAACCAACCACTGAAACACGCTGCAACCTGAATAAACCTCCAAACATTATTTTAGGTGAAAGAAGCCAGATGCTAACAACCATATATTATCTGATTCCCTTTGTATAAAATGTCCATGACAGACAAATCTAAAGAGACAGGAGATTAGTGGTTGCCTGGGTGAAGGGTGAGGAGCTGCAAACAGACCCGTGGGATAATTTTGAGCTACCAAAAATGTTCTAGAATTGGATTGTGCTGATGGTTGTACAATTCTGTAAGTTTATTAAAAACCATTGAATTATGTACTTCAGTGTATCCTATATTATGTAAATTATACCTCTAATAAAGCTATTTATTAAAAAGAACAAAACAAAAAGTCAAGAATGTCTTGAATAAAGCCACTCTTTTCTTCTAGGGTAAAATAAATTGCAGTCATAATTTTTTAATGTGCAGGAAAAAGATAGCTTACCAAACAGAGTTTTCTCAGTTTGAAGTTTTTCATTTATTTACTTTTTTCCACTAAGTTACTAGCATCTACTACTAACGTTTAGTTTTTATTTAATTTGCATGAAATTGATATTTACCTTTTTTAGATTTAATATCTCAATAATCCATATTTAACCCAGAACATATGATTCCCAAGTTCTTCCTTAACCTAAGTGAACAAGAAAACCACTGACCAGAATAACATACAAGTTCCTTTACAAATTTTATTGTAGATTTGACTGTTCAACTCAGTGTAAGAGAATATGTGGTTTAAAACTAATGTAGTTTAAGTCACTGTCAAACTGATGATCATTGATGTGCTTTCTAATTTGCAGTCTCATGTGTCCTGGAGAATTCCAATGTTATGTAAATTCCGTGAGGACAGGAATGTGCATTATTTACACAGGACCAGATCCTCCTGTGTCTCCAGCAAAGAACACAGTGCCCCATGCATGAGGCGCTCAGTAAACATTGGTTCAACGAATGCATTAATAGGCTGAAAACCCCTGTGCACCAAATATTTCTGAAACTGAATGGAAACACACACAGGCTCTTGTTTTCTAAATGCAGGTAGATTATTTTGTGCTTAGTAAAATGTACTGGTACATTCACTTAAACGTGTTATTAAATCGATAGTGACATTTTGCCATCATGAACTTTTTCCTTCAATACATGACCATGTAATTTTGATGTAAATATCTCCGTTCAAAATATCTGAAACTACTTCCAAAGACTTTCAGTCCTTATCGCAGACAAACAAACATACACCTCATTTTTTCAGTGTTAGCCAAACCTAGCTTACACTTTTCATCTTTGGCCAGTATTTGGATGAGGACTCAGCCCACTCACTGTCCAGCATCAATAACATGGCTGTATTAATTCGTGGAGTCATCATGGTGAATATTACAACTGAAATCGTGTCTATTGATTTCAAAAGCCTCTTTGTTGTTAGAGCAGGTGTAAGTCATTTAGCAAATCACAGAGATGGGCTCCTTCCTGGGACGTTTGCCCGGTCGAAGGAAGTGTGTAATGTTTTCATTCTTTCTGTAAGTTGAGGAACCACAGGAAGGGAGGGCATTGCCCGCCTTAGGCACAGATTCCTCTGGGTCCGTGACCTTTACTCTCTGTGAGTTCCTGGGAGGAGGAGGGGACTGCCTAGCAACGGAAAACAACAGCACCAATTGTATCTGTGCTGGTACCTGAGACTTCAACTCATATCAAATTTCTGGAAAACCAGACTTCTGCAGAATTGAATATTTAGTAGCATTAGGTAAAATCAAAAGGACAGATTATCTACCCCCTACTGCAAATGCAGAATACAGTCATTCCCCTCTGTATTTAGATGTTTCATCTAGCCTCCATATAGCAAAAAAGTAAAGGAGGTTTGGATTCATAAAATAAAACAACTACAGTGTAATGGTGGACAGACACAGCTTCAGTTATGTTCAGGGCTAAGTGCTTTTTCTGATCTTCACATAGGCACGGGGTGGGCAAAAGCAGGTTTGCAGTTCGTATGAAAAAAGACGTGCACGTTATGATTATTACAATTAGCTTTGCTCAAAAGACATTATAATGGCAAAGTAAACCTACTTTGGCCCACCCGCGTGCCTTTATTTTTTTTTCTTACAGAGGAGGCTGAAAACCACAGCTACATCATCATCTCATCTGAAAACAGCCCTTGGCGCGCTTCTGTGCTGCCCTTTCCGTAAGATCACACTGCGCCTTTGCACAGCTTCCCGCTCTGACATCCCAGGAGGGCAGAGCGCTGGCGGCCAGCGGGCTGTCCTCTTGCGGCACCCGCAGCGACAGAAGCCAGCACGAAGGAATGAAAGGTGAGACAACCACCTTTATTCATTCATTCGTCTGTGCTCTTAAAAAGTTGCGCGGTGACCTGCCAGAGTCGCGACGAGGGAATTCACAGGTGACAGAGAGCGTTTTCTGCCCTAAATTTGGCAAGCAGAAACCGCGGGGTCCTCCAGCAAAGGGACTGCAGGACAGCAACCTAAGGGACCAGGTGTGCGTCGCCAAAGGAGAGGTGATCCTTTCCCGCGGGGCGGGCGGCGGGGGAGGGGACAATTTTCTCTTCCCAGAGGAGCAGAAACTTCTCGCCCGGGAATCCGAGCACAGAAGAGAGCGTCACTGCGAGAGGATACTCTCCTCACCTGCTTACAGGGAAATGTCCTCGGTGAACTGAGCTGCGCTGGAGGAGCGGGGTCGCAGATAGCCTACCTTGGAGGGCGCTCAGGGCGCACCGCGTCCCGGCGCTGCTGCTCCCCTGGGCTCTCCCGCTGGGTGGAACTGCGGGGCGCCAGTGGCTCCGCCGCGGACCGATTGGGCTCCGCCCCGCAGGGTGCGCCCCGGTAGAGCAAAGTCCGGTGTCCCGGTGACTCCAGGGAGGAGCTTGGGTTCCCGCCGCGCCCAGCCTCACACTCCGGCTCCACGCACCTCGGGGGGCACTACCTGCACCCCAACACTGAAGTCCCAAACACTGCACGCCTCTCAGGAGAATTACAAGGGAGGCCGTTGCTGCTGCTGTTGGAGAAGGTTCTGTTTGCACTTTAAGTTCATCAACTTTTGTTTTTGTTGTTTATAATTAAACTTTTATTTTGGAGTAATTTTAGAATTAGGAAAAAGATGCAGAGGTGGACAGTGCAGAGTTCCCTAAACCCTTCAGCCGGTGTCCCCTAATACTCTTGTCTTCCATGATCACGGTCCATTTGTCAAAATTAAGAACTTAACGTTGCCCATAGCTATTAACTAAACTTGTCTTTGTGCATATTTCACTAGTTTTCCCCTAACATCTTTCTGTTAATCCCATCCAGGATTCCACACTGCATTTACTGTCCTGTCTGGTTTATTCTCCTCTGTTCTGTGGCAGCTTCTTAGCCCTGTCTGGTTTTTGTCTGACAATTTTGAAGAACTCTATAAGCTATTTGGTGGATTTCTGCTGGGTTTTGTCTGCTGTCTTCCTCCTGACTAGCATGTGGTTATGGGTTTGGTGAAGGAAGACCACAGAGGTCAAGTGCCCTTCTCATCAGAGCATCTATCAGGGGACACAGGGTAACGACAGAACCTGGTCCTGGTGATGTTAACCTTAATCACGTGGTTCAAGTAGTGCCTGCTAGGTGTCTCCAAGGCAGAGTTACTACTATTCTCTTTCCATACTCTATTTTCTGTGTGAAAGTCGCTAAGATGAGCCCACACTTACGAGAGGAGGGTGGGGGTAATCAAACTCCACCTCTCGGAGGCGTGGGGCTTATCTCCTGTAGTACTTGGAATTGTTCTGCAAGGAAGGTCTGTTCCTTCTTTTCCACTTACTTATCTATTCAATCCTTTATTTATATCAGTATAGGCTCCTGCATATTTATTTTATACTTTGAGCTATAATTCAATACTACATTATTTATTTTGTTGCTGAAACTGTTCCAGCTTTGATCACTGAGAACTCTTTTGGGTTGGCTCCTGTGTCCCTTTGAAAGTCCATAAATTTTTAAGGCTGAGGAAAAACATTTCCCTAATTATTTGCTCTGCCCACCCCACATTGAGCAGAGCTGGGAAACAGCAGCCCACGTATTCCATTATCCAAGGGCTTTTCAGAATCTTCCTGGGAATCCTATGATCGCTGAGTCCCACCCCAGTAAGAGGAAAAGAAATGATATGTGTGTGTGATGAACTTGAGGACTAGAACCCAATTGGAGAAGTAAAAATTGATGTGTCTTAGGTAAGTTTTGGTTAACTTAACCTTGTGCTTCCATTAAATACTAGATAAACGTGTGTTTATAGACAAACAATGTCCCAAAGTTAGCCATGAATGTTTACAATGACTTTAAACATTGGAGAAATCCAGCTGTTGAGGGTCCTTTGTTATATTGCTTTGGTTTGCTCCTGTTTGCATTTGCAAGTTGGTCCCATAAACACAACATTTCCTCCTTCTGAGCTGGAATCTGGCTCAGCCCTGCTTTCTGAGACCCTGCCGCCTCTCTTCCTGGCCTTAACTTTTCTTAGGAATATATCCTGCATTAATTCAGGTGAGCACAGGATAGATGGCACAGGGAGGTATCCAGTGCCAGGAACTAAGTGATTCTCTGTATGTCAAGTATTTCTTTACAAAGTTACTAAAAGTAATACTAGTTAAGTGAACAATTTTGTATTTAAGCCCAACCATATCCCAGAAGAAACTGACAAGAGCAGAGGTGAGGGTGAGATTTTTGTGCACTTTTGTGGGGGAAGATGTGAAATTTTACTTGAAAGTAGGAATTCTAATCTGTATGAAGTTCTGTTTCCTAGTTCTGCAAATGTACATAGATAATTTTTACTAAATCTTGTATGAAGGAAAGCCGGGAACCACTTGGGATTAACAAGACTGTGGAGTTACAAAATACTAACAATCTACACAGTGCTGCTCAGGAGAATCCATAAACCATCTGGAAGTGTAAAACTCCAGTGAAGGTCCTTAGAAGTTGGAAATTGGAGCAGAAGGGGTCAATGTTTATGGAATCTCTTACCGCTATAGCATCTGATTGTTATTTTTATGGCAGAATGCATACAAATTATTTTAAATAGCCAAGTTTTTGTGAAGCTGCTTTTCTTCACACTTTACCTAAGGTTATTTGTATTTTAAAATAAAGTGTCAGAATTATGTATTTTTTGCAATGGCTTGGGTTGGTCTCATGGAGATCATAGAGGGACGAAGCCATCCCCAAACCACCATCAGAACGCTTACCGAATAGCCCCTCCTGCTCCGAGGGGCGACGAGAGAGGAGGGATTTAGGGGAAGAGGTCTCCCATCCTGGAGCCTGCCACACCACTGCTGCCCAGGTTGAAGGAAATTCTGCTGTAAATCTAGGCGCCCCATCAGAGCCTCTACCTTGTGACATTCAGCCCGGGGCTTGGATTTGAAATTATCATCATTTATTTCTGTTTGGGAGTTATTTGCTAAAAGGAAATTATATGTAATACATGTTTTCAATATAAATCTTACTGCGTCATTCCAGACCCTCAATACATACACACACACAAACACACACATCATACATGCCGCCGCCACCACCGTGCACTAAAACACTCCAGTGCCCCCTTATGACCGTATGACCTGGGGTTTAAGGCCTTCGCCCCTCCCCCAGGTGGAGAAGCCCTCTCAGGACCCCTCCCACTTCGTCTCTTACGATGCTGCCATGTTGTTGGCTAGCAAGGTGAGATGCCTTGCGGTGTCCCAAACCCACTCTTTTTTCTCCATTTATTCCCATGGACTAGAATGCCCTTTCCCCTCCTTCTCACTCTGTTCAGGGTACAGACGGAATCCTCACCTTGAACTCCCCAGCTTCCATTGGACATACACTTAGGTCTCCCCACAAAATACTTGCTATATTACATGTCATTGCCTACGTTTCCTGTGGCAGCTCGGCTGCAGCCAACGGCCACACTTAACAGCGTGCCATTCTGTGGGTGAGAGGTCTGACGCGGGCTCCTGGGCGAACGTCGGTCCGTCAGCAGGGCCAGGGCCGCGCCCCTTTCTGGAGGCTCTTGTGAGAACTCGTTCACCTGCTTTTTCCATCCTTCTCTAGAGGCCGCCTGCATTTCCTGGCCACACGTCTTCATCCTCAAAACCAGCGGCCTCTCTCTCTCTGACTCTGACGCTCCCTTTTTCACTTAGGATAACATGCGCTACAGCGAACATTTTGTGAGGAGACCTCGTGAGTACACTGACCCCCAGTGAATAATCCCGGGTAATCTCCCCCACTTTACAATACGCAGCTTGATCACATCTGCCAAGGCCATTTGCTGCATGAGATTCCACATTCACAGCTCCCCTGGTTTAGGCCATGGGCACCTTCGAGGTGCCCGTCACTCTGCCTACCACGGCTGTGCTGCTAACTTACTTTATAATTCAAACATGAATTAGGTTTTGTTATTACATATTTCATTTTTTAAGGTGTAAAATCAAGAAGGCATGGCAAAGCGATGAAGATGGCATGCTCCATCTTTTTTATATGTGTGTGTATGTTGTTTCTGCCCATCTTTCCCTTCTTCCCTTTTCCCTTCCCATGACACAAAGCCACCCCAAGGAGCACCTGATGCGGGAAGATGGTCCAAGTTCTTCCTCCTCCCCCAAACCTACAACCTTCCTATGCTTTCTGGGGCTTGTAGGACAGAGAAGAGAATGCAGATCTGAAAAATAAGGCATTTGATCTCGACAGAATGGAACTCTATGGGCCCCTGAGTTTTGTGGCCTGAACTCTGAGCTGGAGGGGAAAATGCAGTATATCTGAAGGTCTCTTGTCATCTTGGGACAGCAATCCACCTACTCTATGTAAACCGCTGTGCTGGCTGTTGGGGTCAATTTTTACAATTTTAAATTCCAGTGAATTTGTATTTTAAATGAGTTACTCACACATGCCTATAGAAGATAACTATAGATGCAATATATAATAAATTCAAATATTCCCGGCTATAAATCATCCGTGAATAGTAGGAGAGCTAACAAGTACTAGATGACTGAGGAGAATGTCGACTTTAGTTGGTATCCAAAGGAATCCTCCAGAGGAGGCAAGAGAGAGGTGGGTTTTGGGGGTGAGTACTGTGTTTTCCTGGCAGAGCATGGGAGCCTGTTGAGCTGAGATGCAGGAAAAGTCCTGAAGCAGGTAAATGTTCAGGCCGATCTGGGAGCTACCAAGTAGACAGTCCAGCTGGATCACGGGAGAAAAATGGGAGATAAAGCAGAGGGGCAGGAGCAAATTGCGTAACAGACAAAGTTTCAGGTAATGTGTTCTTCTTGTCCATCTCTGCTAAGGCAGAAAGGAGAAATCATTGTAGGAAATGAAACTCTGGTAGTTGTTATAAGTTTAAAAGTAAACACTTAGCAAATATTTGTGAACAATATAGGAGTGTCTACTTGTATATACAAATTTGTCTGAACATGTGAATCTTTTCTAAGACTCCTTTCACATAAGGGACACAGAAACCATGACATAAACAAGGGTGATATTAAAAATGTGCACCTACCAGTTTGAACAGTGGCACCAACCTATCAGCAAAGCTGCCCATCATAACCAAGTGCTATAGATGAACCAGCGTAAACCAGCTGAGGGTCAGCCCTGGACATCATGCTTTGAAACCATCACTGCTCTCTGGGCAAAACTAGATGTTCTGTCTCCTTTCTCTCTCCCTCTTTGAAAAATACTCTTTGAAAGCAGGCAGTTTGGTATCTTCCTTCGGACTTAATATGTTTTGATTGTCATAACCTGTCTCTCTCTCATAGGCTTGGTCCACTCTGACTTAGCAGTAGCTGGAATAATAAATGTCAC